CTCCTTTGGAGTAGCCACCTGTAGGAGCACTGCCTGGGATGATCTGGTGGTACAGGTAGATGACCTTGGGAAAGGGCACTCTGACGAGTAGCATGGTCCCAAACCATGGAGAACTTTATACATAAGCATCAATATGTTTCATTCTTCAAGATGTTTTTGATCCACAACCACCCTAATGTAGCATGAAACTTTTTTAAAGGAGTGAGTTATATCAAAGAAGATACTACTGTCAAATAGAGAAAAGCCTTCAGCAGATCTATAAAAGTAGTCCTTTGGAGTCAGAAGAAGTAAAGGCTCTAGTGCCCAGGAAATGACAAGTAGCAACTTCCTTTGAGTATCGCAGAAATGTTTCTAAATGAAATTAAAAGCAAATCAAATTCATCTCAGTGTCAGAAGACAGAAATTACAGATGTAGATCAAAGAGAGAGCATGCAGGAGAGAGTTAGTGTAGAAACAATGGATTTTCCAGCAGTAATAGGCGATGGTAGTGGTAGTGATGGTGTTACATTAAGTGGATCTTAGGTGAGGAAGACAGTGACCAGCAGTTTTGAGGTCCCTGAGTGACCTTTTTGTACTTCTTTAGCTTTAAATCAGGGCAGCTCTTCATATGGATAATACCTTCAAAAGAGGACATATGGCCCACCCTATAAGGGAGGGGGCAAAACAACCCCAGATATTAATTGTAAGGTTGTGTGAGGAAGGTTTCAAACAAAAGAGCCTGGGGAGCTACCCAACAATTAGCTCCCTCAATGTCCACTTTGGGACTAGTCAAAAACAGTCTTATCTTGAGGAAATGAGCGGGAGAAGACAGAAGGTCTGTTGCTCCTGGTTAGGCCAAATTCTTTGGAAGGAAATGTTCAGCAGTAACTGACATCTCCAGACAGTGCTGAGAAAGACTTCTGAAAGCCTGGAGAACCAATGACAATCAGCAGAGCCATAACTAAGGGCAGCCAACCAATCAAGTGTGGCTGCTCCTCTCCAGGCAGAAGGAAACCCAAAACAGGTAGGCTCACTGTGGAAACAATGTGGTACAGTGGGGTCTTGACTTACGAACTTAATCCGTATTGGAAGGCAGTTCTCAGGTCGAAAAGTTCTTAAGTCGAATCTGCATTTCCCATAGGAATGCATTGAAAACCATTTAATCCGTATCTGCTCTTTTCGACCATAGAAACTAATGGGAAGCTGCTATTCCGCCTTCTGCCACTAGAGGGGGATATTTTTTCTTTTTTCCTTTTAACCTAAGATGACTTAGCTTTAAAAAAAAGGAAAAAAAAGAGTTCGTAACTCGAATCTAAGTTCGTAAGTCGAGCCCATATATTCCTATAAGAGTGGTTTGTAAGTCGAAACGTTCGTATGTCGAGCCGTTCGTAAGTCGAGACCCCACTGTAAAAAATTGCCTTTACAACCTCTGATCCTTTAAATATTTCAATTGAAAATATATTAATTTTACAAGATTTATATCTCAATACATATCTGATTTAAGCTGTTTTGATTCCACTGTTGGCTACACTGGGAAAAAAGGTCTTATTTAAGATAAGGAAGTGGATTAAGGACAGTTTATTTCCAATTACAACATAGAATTCAGAAAACAGATTCTACAAGCACGATTTCACAGTTGTATATCCTGCTTTTGTAAAAGAAAAAAAAAAGAAAAACCCTAAAATGTCACATGAAAAAAATTGAAGTGTTTTCTCTGAATGCTAAGCAATTTTTGAATGTTACTGAATGTAAGAGAATAATTTACATCACACCAAGTGTTAGCAAAGTTGACAGCCTTTAAAAATGACTAAAATGTCTAAATGCTACAGGGTTGGAATTCTAAGTAGTAAAAATGTGATCTTGGAATACTAAACAGAAAAAAATGTTGGAATTTTTTTGAATGTGAATTTCCCCGAACTCGTGAAAATGACAGATAACCTGAAGATTAAGATACTAGTCATGTTTTAAAATATATCTAAGATATTTACACATTACCTCTTATGCAAACCTTACAAACCAATCTGCATGAAACATTTAAAATTATATGCATCACTACAAAAATGGTAGAGATGTGGGGCAGGGAAAATCAATTTTTAACTGTTAATATCCTAAGACAGAAAGAGACATTAGAGGTAGGCTTCCATATTGGAATGGCGTTCGTAAAGTGAAACATTCGTAAGTCAAAGCAGCATTTCCTCTTATGCAAACCTTACAAACCAATCTGCATGAAACATTTAAAATTATATGCATCACTACAAAAATGGTAGAGATGTGGGGCAGGGAAAATCAATTTTTAACTGTTAATATCCTAAGACAGAAAGAGACATTAGAGGTAGGCTTCCATATTGGAATGGCGTTCGTAAAGTGAAACATTCGTAAGTCAAAGCAGCATTTCCCATTGAAATGCATGGGAATGGGATTTATCCATTCCAGCATTTCAAAAAAATACCAAAATAAAAATAAACAGAGCAAGTCCCAGGCTGGGACCACAAGCAAATCATCAACAGTTCTCTCAGTACATATTTCTTTTCTCTTGCTATATCATTACCACCTTCTCTACCTATTTTCTTAACCAGCTTTATTTCTCTCAGTATCTGTTCCCTCGCTCTCTGACTAACCAGCCCTTATCTGACTCCTCCTTCTCCCGCCAAGCCTCATGTAGCTGCTGACTCAGCCTCTCCAGTCCTCTCATAGGTTCATGCAAATCAGCTCATGAATATGAATGGCATGAGTTACGTGGGCGATCATCACACTATGCTTTGGAATTCTCTTCCCAAGTCCCAGTGAAGCATGATATCCTGGTGGGGATTCAGGAGGGGATATAAAGTGAAATTATTTCAGTGGGTCTATGGTGATATTAAACTGCTATTCTACCATCTGTATATTGAAGCATCATGTGATCATATAAATAAGATTAATCTGTTTGATGGGTTTAGCTTATTGCTTTTTCCCCATTCATTTTTGCATTTTTACTATTTCTATGAAGTATATTATTTGTTACATTTCTTATATCTGTAATTATTGTTTTTATTGTGATGTATGCCATTCAGGGTTCTTCAGGCACCAACATACATACATATTTACATACCTATATGCATGCATACACATGTAAGTGACATAATTAGACTTTCAGAGGTCTAAAGCCAACTGTTTCAAGTAGGAAATAGAAATAAATCTTGTGACATAACATGGTTGCCTGATTAATTTTGGAGTGGCACAGATTTTGTGGCGTAACAGTCATAATTACAGAACTAAAGTTACAGAGAAAGCAGCTTTCCCCCATCTGTGATGATGTCAAAATATCTTATTTTAATGTTCATGTTCTTTCTGTGTGCTACCTCATTTCAGTCTTAGACTCAATCAGGCATAATTAGATTTTATCTTCAATTTAATTAGTGAATTTTAAATTTTTAGAAATTGCTATGTAAAAGAGTGAAAGAAAAATACTGTTCCGTCTTGTTTCACCTCTTCGACGTTATCCTGTCTGTAGAGGAAAGTGTCGAACTGAGAGCTTGGGAGTAGTTTATGAAAAAATAATAACTAATTGCCTGTAATTATTTAAAACAGTTAATAATGATTTTTAAAAGCTGTTAATTATTTGTTATAGTGGCCAGAATCTTGTTGCTGCTTGTGTAACTTGTTGTGGCTGATTGACAAGGTATTATGCTGCACAGTCAGTGTGTGGCCAGACATGCGATCAATACATGCCCCAGCACTTCATCAATTAGCCTCAGTCAGCCACAGTAAGTTACACAAACCTTACACAACGCTAATAAAACCCTGGTCATTGAAAGTGATGTAAACATGTTGAGTATTGACTAGCATTTCCCGTTGCTTTAACCTTTGGAGATAGTTCAGCGGAGGAAGTGCAAAGATGACGCTCCGAGTAAGGAAAAAGACTTGCAAGAACTTTCTCCAGAGATTTTTAAGAGAAATTGTTTTCAAAGACATAACTTCCCAACTGTGTTGCTTTTAGTTAAGTCCCACTCTCTTCCTTTAATCAAATCCCTAATAAAAAAATATTCTAAAAATGTGTGAACAACTCATGGTTGTGCTGGGGAGGGAGGGGAGAAGAGCCCATGACACACACTACTTCATTCCTGTCTTGATAAACCATAGTTTATTTCGATGACTCACTGCAGGCATAATCTATTGAGGTTTCTTCTTTATAACAGCATTTCTATTCTCCAAGGCATTTCAAAAATCTTGCTCCCTGTAGTTCAGTTTTACACACACACACATACAATTTTCAAACATACTACAGAAGCTCCTTTTTACTGTAGATGGCACAAGCAAGAATATTTAAAGGTAAAGGTCGAAACAAATGGCCACTGTTGAACTTTTCATAAACGTTTTTCCCCAGGCCTTCCGTTTTGAAATAAGGTAAAGGGAGCTGAGATTGAAGGAAGCCTTGCCCCTTCCACTGCTTATCTTTATCGGGCAGGGAAGGTTTGTTGTGGTGATGTAAGCACATTCAGTTGAACACGGACACATAAAGCCACACAAGAGCATTGCGGGAGGTGAGGCTCCCAGTTGAACTGCTATTTGTGATCACGTTCAACTGTTCATTTGAACGAAGGAGGTCAAGAGGGAACGGCAGGGCTCAAGCACAGTTCTACAACTCTTTCTACATGATTTTAAAGCAGAGTGCCCAGATAGGTTTATTTTTGTAACTGAAAGTGCTTTACAAGATTATTTTTAGCAGACCCCATTCAGAATTGTATACATGACAAGGACATGAGAACACAAATATGAGTGATGATGTTTTTCAGTAATTCGGAAAAATCATACCATATAAAACCTGTCTGATATTTTGATTATTTTTGTCTGATACCTTTATGCCTAATGCAGACATAGAAACCTAAAGTACTTAAGGTCTCTAGATAACAAATGATATTTCCAAACTCTTGATATGTCTACGTTGAGTGCATGGAACTGAACTAGTTATTGATCGTTTTGGAAAATATATTTTGATCCCAAACATAAATTTAAAACTTTGAACCTGCATGTATTCCTTCTAGTACCTTCATGCCAATGGAATTGTTCACCGTGACTTGAAACCAGAAAATCTGCTGTATGCAACACCAGCTCCAGATGCCCCTTTAAAAATAGGTAATATGAGTTTTTCCATCTTTGGTTGGCACGCTGATGTCCTAATTGTCCCATTCATTTTAGCACTGTCGGCAGGGCATTCACAAATATGAAAGAGAAAGTGAGGACGAACCTGTATAGAAACAGAACCATGCCCTGCTCTCATAATAAAACCTTTGTTTGGGGGGAAGGTCAGTTTAGAATATGATTTCACAAAAAACAATTCACTTTACTGTTATGATATTTAATTGGTAATAATTTTGTATAATATTTTCTATAAGACAAGATACTCTTATTAATTTAATTCCACCTTATTTCAGGAAACAAACATGATAAAATAATAAAACTTTCTGATTTGTAACAGCTGATTTTGGACTTTCCAAGATTGTTGCAGACCAAGTGACCATGAAAACAGTTTGTGGAACTCCTGGTTACTGTGGTATGTTCATTTATTACTTTCAATACATTTGGAATTACTTTATTTGCATTCAGTTTCTTTATGATTTCTTGTCTTTGCTTAAACCCAGACCAACAGTAGCAAAAATGCAAATCGCATAAAAACATAGCTGTATCTGTTAAAGTCGTGTGAGTGTCCTTTCACTCATACAGTGGCATTCCTTTTTTGCTTTCTCACCTGTGTGTGTCTCACATCTCCTGAGGGCATGGTGGGAGGTGGCTTTTTTGCTTTCTCACCCACATGTGTGCATTTCACATCTCCTGAGGGCATGGTGGGAGGTGAATTCTTCCAGTAATATAAATCCATTCTGCCAGTGGACAAACAGCATTGTCAATGGTCCTGTTCAGCTCTTGCAAGCTCGGGGCTTACTTTAATGAGTCAATGCATTTATTTCTTTGTCTTCTTCTTTTCTGTTGTCTTCCATTTTTTCCAGTGTTATTTTACAGTGAGTTTTGTCTTATTATGTGCCCAAGGTATGTTAGTCTCCGTTTTGTCATTTTTGCTCCTAGGAAGAGTTCTAGCTTGATTTGAGCTAGAACCCACTTGTTTGTCTGTATGGCAGTCCATGGTATGTGGAAAGCACTCTTCCAAGATCGCATTTCAAATTAATCAATTTCCTTCCTTTTGGGTTTCTTCACTGTTCTGCTTTCACATCCATACACAATAATTAGGAATACCACAGTCTAGTTGATCTTCACCTTGGTTTCTAGTGACATATCCTTGCACTTGAGGATCTATTCTCGTTCCTTCATTGCTGCCCTTCCAAGTCTCCATCTTCTCTTTTATTGGGCACAGTATCCATTTATACTAATGACTGTTCCAAGTCTCCCTCTTCTCTTTTACTGGGCACAGTATCCATTTATACTAATGACTGAAGCAAAGTTCTAAAAATCTTAATTTCAGTTTCTTCATTGTCAACATGAAAGCTCTATAATTCTTCTATATGATTTTTGCCTTTTTAGTGTTCAACTGCAATCCTGCTTTTGTCCTTTTGTCTTCCAGACTACACAAACTATTTAGGTTCATGTAACTTTTTTTTCCCAAGCACTGCGGGGCAACCCATCAAAGTAACCCATTTGAGAATGCACCATTGGCAACTGAATTTGTGAATGATGTTGGTCACTTGGTTCCATATAGTTTATGACTCACAAACAATATTTTATTGTGACATTAACTATTTAAATCATGTTCTTAGTATATTATTTCATATTTTGATAGAAATAAAGAATTTTTTGTTTTATTACACAATGATCACGGGGACTTTTAATAACAAAGATATCTCAGACTTGAATAAAGGATTCAGAAAATAAATCAGAGTAACAAAACCCATATGGAAACAAAAACGGGATTCCAAAAAAATATACAAAGCAAAAACATACAGTGAGACATGGCAGAGTTAGCGTTCCATGAAAAATTGAAGTTTTGAAATAGTAACATGTTGCCTGAGGGTGACAAAGCAGCCGGCTAACAAACCAAAAACAACAGATTAAAAATGTGGTTGTGCGTTATATATAATAAGCTACAACTGGGTATCTTAGATGATGTTCTGGTCAAGATACGGACTGAAAGGAGGCAGGGTGGCTAGAGCTGCTCCTGTCAAACATGCACATGCCCCATGTTGTTTGTTTTATTGGATCTATTCTCGTTCCTTCATTGCTGCCGTTCCAAGTCTCCCTCTTCTCTTTTACTGGGCACAGTATCCATTTATACTAATGACTGAAGCAAAGTTCTAAAAATCTTAATTTCAGTTTCTTCATTGTCAACATGAAAGCTCTATAATTCTTCTATATGATTTTTGCCTTTTTAGTGTTCAACTGCAATCCTGCTTTTGTCCTTTTGTCTTCCAGACTACACAAACTATTTAGGTTCATGTAACTTTTTTTTCCCAAGCACTGCGGGGCAACCCATCAAAGTAACCCATTTGAGAATGCACCATTGGCAACTGAATTTGTGAATGATGTTGGTCACTTGGTTCCATATAGTTTATGACTCACAAACAATATTTTATTGTGACATTAACTATTTAAATCATGTTCTTAGTATATTATTTCATATTTTGATAGAAATAAAGAATTTTTTGTTTTATTACACAATGATCACGGGGACTTTTAATAACAAAGATATCTCAGACTTGAATAAAGGATTCAGAAAATAAATCAGAGTAACAAAACCCATATGGAAACAAAAACGGGATTCCAAAGTGAAAATATACGAAGCAAAAACATACAGTGAGACATGGCAGAGTTAGCTTTCCATGAATAATTAAAGTTTTGAAATAGTAACGTGTTGCCTGAGGGTGACAAAGTAGCCGGCTAACAAACCAAAAACAACAGATTAAAAATGTGGTTGTGCGTTATATATAATAAGCTACAACTGGGTATCTTAGATGATGTTCTGGTCAAGATACGGACTGAAAGGAGGCAGGGTGGCTAGAGCTGCTCCTGTCAAACATGCACATGCCCCATGTTGTTTGTTTTATTGTTATCTCCCTCTCCTTGGATGGAAGAGCTCCACATTCACCACCATGACCTCTTCTCAGGAATCACCTCACCACAATGACAACAGCCCACCGAGCAGCCCAGCCAAAACAGCTGGATGTCCCCCTGCAAATGCAGGAGCTCCAGCACAGACTAAGATGCATCCACTCTCTCCAAGGCAGCTACTGGGCAGCCATAGTTGTAGCTGAATGTGACAATGGCAGAGGAGGCAATGGTAACGACCCCTTTGTATGCAGAACACATCATATGGAAAGCCAGAGTGGATTCAGACATAGGAGAAGTGAAAATAGGTGGAAGAAACAGAGATAATTTAAGATATGCAGGCAACACCATCGTACTGGCAGAGAACAAGCCTAGGGAGACAACAGAGCTGTGGATCTTTTCATGTAATTTCATATAATGAGCTTCTTTCATGTAATTCATCTGTGTTTAACAACTGCCAAAGAGAGCCCCTAAAGACAAATTATTCGTATTTACAAAAGAGAGGCACACAAAAGTTTCTTCTTCCTTTTGTGTTCCCTCTTTCATATAAACGGTTGCTGACCTTTGTGTGTGAAATACCCTAATAAATTTTTCATCCAATGACATTGTGAGGGCTGCTGTCAGCAGCCAATCAGAATCCTCAGGAAGGAGGTGAGAATTCTGAATGGGTAAAACTGTCAGAAGCCAATAAGAACATCCAGATGGGAGCAGGAATTTTGAATCGAGAAGGGCCTGGAAGCCAATGAGAACTAAGAAGTATTCTTTGTTTCAGTAGTTCCTTGTGGGATTGCTGTGTGATGAGCTCCTAGTGCCCTCCATCTTGAATTGCTTTTAATGCCTCCTGCTGCCTGTGCCTCCATCTTGGATTTGTTCCTTTTTTATTCTTTATTTAAATTAACTTTGCGGTGGATTTTCCCACATTTCTCTGGATTATTTTGCTGCAACCAGACAGACAGCCTGGGCATTGTGCCTCCTTGGGTTTATTTTTGGATCCTCCTCCGATTTCTTTCCCCCCTTCTTTGCCCCCCTTTCCAATCTTAGATTATTTCTACTGCTGCCTTCTGGACTCAGACAAAAGAAGATAAAGCATCAAGCGGTAGAGAGGAGAGGAAGCTCCCCACCCTGTTCTGCTTTTGATTTGGGGAGGAGAGCTTTTTTTTTTTCTTTTGCCTTGCCTTGCTTTTATTTAGACATTTCTTGGTTTTTTGCGAGATAGAGATGTGTGTGTTTTCTTATGTTCTTTTTTCCTTATATATTTGGGAGGGGTTGTTGTGTATTTGGTTATCGTGTAATTATTCTGTTAAAGGTTATATTTTCGTGGGGATTGAAATTGTTGTGTTTATTTCTGGGAGAGATGTGTGAACTAGGATGGGTGGACATTATTATTGTGCCAGTGTGTCACTGGGCTGTGTGGGTAGTGGTTGTGGTTTATTGGGCACAGCTTTGCACTTTTCTCTTGTGTTATTTTCACTGTCATGCTGCTGTTGATGCTCTGGAGAGCAGATGTCTCTGTCTGCCAGGCAGCCAGTGTCTGCCTGCCTGCCTGCTTCCTTGTCCTTTTTTATACTGTGCTTCCCAGGCCCAGAGGGTCTGTTGTGCTGGATGGATGGCACAGAATGCCTACCATTGTTTTGAATAATATAATATAAACTAGTGCCTGCATAGTTTTGATGATGATTTTTTTTCTTGTGTATTGTTGTCAGCTTTTGTAGTAGATTGCTTCTCTGTTGCCTTGCCCTCTTGCTTTTTTTTTTTTTTTGAATAGTTCTAAAGTGTTCATTAGGGCTCTTGGAGTGCCAGAAAAGATTAATGGGAAAGCATGAAAAACAACCCAGAGCAGGTTTTCCCTTCCATGTAAACCCCAAAAGAAACACTCTCCCATCCCAGGAATCCAAAGGAAAAGAAATGGGAACATTTCCAATATTTACATCCCTGACTGAGTCCTTAACAGCCATCCTTTTTTAGCTGTCTGTCTGTCTTTCTGTCTCCCTGTCTGTAGATACCCAGAATGGCATACAACGTAATTTTAAAAAAAACATGCCAAACATATAACATACATAGCTTTTTTAGCGTCTGTCTTTCTGTCTCCCTGTCTGTAGATACCCAGAATGGCATACAACGTAATTTTAAAAAAAACATGCCAAACATATAACATACATAGCAACCTGAAAAGGAAAAAAAAAACATAATCATGAAAGTGGTAGAAATACAACTGAAAGTAGCAGCATCCTTAAGTCCAGAGAAACATTTTTGTCTTACATTGCCTCCTGAATCCTTGATAAAACATTATATTCTTCAAGGACTTTGGAAAGGAATTCCAGAGCATAGGAAAATAGCACGCTCCCCCCCTTGTGCACTTTTAATTGTTGGCACCTCTAAAAATGACCTCAATTGAAAAGGAAAGATAAAGACTAAAAGTCCCACATTGGAAATCCATAGAGGAGCACTGGCATCAAGGATTGATACATTATTCATGTTTCAGTTAAAAATGAGAATGAGATCTAATGCAGGACACCTCATATTTCTGATTAGTTTAAGAAATGGAGAAGAAGGGTTTATGCTTGCAAGCAAAACAAATTTGTCTTGAGTTGCTTCAGGATTTTGCAGAATGAAACTGACTTACGAGTAGGGCTTACTAAAGGATACTGGTCATTGTGCTGATATTCTGCTCCATTAAGTTTTTCTTTTTTCTTTTTTTCAATGCTCTCTGGAGTTTGGGAAAGCTGGAATGTAATGAGGTCTGAACCCCTATCCTCAAAGGGGGGAGGGTTTGGGGTGTCTGTATTGTATTTTAGATATGTGTTTGTAGTTGAAATAAAATTTTAAAATTAAAAAAAAATTTAAAAAATGACCTCAATTGAAAAGGAAAGATGAAGACTAAAAGTCCCACATTGGAAATCCATAGAGGAGCACTGGCATCAAGGATTGATACATTATTCATGTTTCAGTTAAAAATGAGAATGAGATCTAATGCAGGACACCTCATATTTCTGATTAGTTTAAGAAATGGAGAAGAAGTGTTTATGCTTGCAAGCAAAACAAATTTGTCTTGAGTTGCTTCAGGATTTTGCAGAATGAAACTGACTTACGAGTAGGGCTTACTAAAGGATACTGGTCATTGTGCTGATATTCTGCTCCATTAAATGGCACAGTGGCGCATCTTTTTATATTCTATTTGCAGGCATTTGTGGAAAAGCAGAGCTTTAGAACCAGTGTAGGAATCAATTGTGGATGTGCTTAAAAACAGACTTGAGTTGAGAATTAAGAGTTATGGGAAAGACAACTGAAAGAAATGTAGATATTTAAAAAACACATCTTTTTAGATGTGCCAGTCTCAACAGAAGTTGTGTTTTCACACCTCCTGAGACTTGCTACCAAGAAGAAAGTTGTACACTTTATGCAGTAAATAAATGCATGCATGTGGTTAAATGTATACACTGGGGAGAAAGGAATTAAAATGTGTGCACATTTGTGTTCATGAAGAAAAAAAATAGTCTCTCACAAGCCAAAATGAAAGAAGAAGAAGAAGAAAATTGAAAGAAATGCAAGAAAACTGAGAGATGATCAGGCAGAACCCTAAGAAGAAGAAGAAAAAGAAGAAGAAGAATATAAATAGTAAATAGTAAATATAAAATATAAAATATAAATGGTAAATAGTAAATAGTAAATATAAATGAAATGAAATGAAATATTCTTTGGGTTTTGCCTGATATGCTTGCACAGACTAAGACAGGCTACCACTTTAAAAACCAAAACTGAGAGATGTTCTCATCCTTAGCTAAGGCACACAGAAACAGAGATTCAAGAAGGAGAAACAAGAGATAGAAGGGGCAAGAGTCTGAGAAAGGGAGCAGAGAAATCAACAGAACTTAGTGAAGAGTTATAGGAGGTCATGTCCAATTTCAAATTGTGCATGTATGCAATGGATGAAATCCTACTGCTTAGTTTAGGACAAGCCATAATTTTCATTCAGTTCCTAGTTGGTAAATAAAGAGTCCCCAGTGTGATTCTCAGGAATATGTATGCACACTACCTTGGTACGTGCAGACTCAGCTGGAAGAATCATGGTGGGGACTTTTTATTTGCTCTTTAGGAAAAGAGTGAATGTTACAAACTTTCTTACACAAAGCAACAAGTTTTCAACAATTACATCATAAAATATTTCATTTTTCATTAGTATAAAGCAGTCATATTAAGCTGGTGGTTTAACAAGAAACATCCAAAGTATTACTGTATATTATAACCATGGTGTTCCTATTGGGACCAGCTGTAGCTGAAAAACTAACATATTCAGATCTATACTTTTGGACAAACTGATCTTGCTAGTGATATATCTTGTTCCGCTCATTTTCATTTATAGCACAATGATTTTCACCATGTAGCAGTGCTCCAGATTCAGGGTATATAATATCATGGTCCAGATGAGTTTTATCAAGAATATCACAATATAAGCCAGAGTTGGCAAGGAATCAAAACACAGGAGCCAAGAGAGGAAAGGGCTGAGGAAGGATGATGGTTTTGTCTGTGCTTCTGGATGGGCTGCATGTATTAGGCATCCACTAATGGGTTTCTGAGGAAAATGAGGTCTCCAAATGGGTTCTTCAATGCTGAAGAGGTATCTTTATAGTGACCTAGCAAATTTAGCATTAATCATAATACAACATGAAGATTAATAAAAAACGGAAGGTTAATAATTGTACTTAAGACTAGAGTAAATATGATAAATATTTGTGCAAAATTTTCATTCTACAAGTGTGGGTACAGTTTGTAAAGAACAAAAACAGACTTTTAAATGAAAAAAATGGTGCTCATTTGTACCATTGTAATCAACTTATTGTTATAATTATCACAACTTCAAACTGCTGTCTCTAATTATCCTTCCAATAGCTTTCCTAACATTCATTCTAATAACACATTTGAAAGCAAGCTTAACATACATATTTCAAGAAAGAAATGCTTGTTTATGTCCTGTTTTGTTTTGGTCAGACAGGAGTTTGATCTTGAATTTGTTGACTTAGGCTTTTTCTTCCTTCTCCCTGTGAGATAAGACCATTGTCAGCTGTTCTCCTTTGCTGTTAATTCTTTCTACATTTAACTTTTGTTTTATTGACAAGGTTTTTATCATCTGCAGCACCAGAAATTCTGCGAGGATGTGCCTATGGCCCAGAAGTTGACATGTGGTCACTAGGAATAATCACCTACATCCTGTAAGTTCATGGAACACAAAGTGGCTTTTTTGTTCTTTTTCTAATTGCCAGGTTTTATATTTTAAACTGGGTCGAAAAGAACTGGAATGTTTAACCATTTGCTTCCTCCTATTTGTGTTTAAATTGTTTGAAAGAGGTACACCCCACAAATTATTCAAATTGTACATGTATTGTTCCTATTTTATTGAAAAATAGAGGCTTTTGGCACTACTTCTTAATTATATCCATTATATTTATTTTTAAGCCAATGCCTTAATAGCTGCTGATGCTCAGCTAGGGATAACAACTTTCCTTATATTGTGGCTCACGAATGAACTGTAACCCTACATGCTTTTATGCGGAAATATACTGTACTTTATTGAACAAATAGGACTTACAATGAAGCAAACATGTGTAGGATTTCAGTACATATCTTCTTTAACTTTCGTGAGCATTCCTGTCCACTACTTGTGGCATTATTGCTGTCTTTTTGCCAGTGCACATAGCCCTGAAGGGGTAGCACAATAGTGGTTACCCATTTGAGGGATTGTTTCTTTGTGAAGAACCATCCTGTTTGACTCATATTTCGCAGACACATTGTGGGGGCACATTGATGGAGCCCTCTTGGTGTGGGAAAAAGGAGGTTATTGCAAAGAAAATCCTATAGCTGGGGATCTTGATAGTCTGAGTAAGAAGTGGACCAATGATCATGGTAATGTTCTGGAAAATTCTATTGCATTAAATATTTCAGGTTGTATGGGATGGAGTAATAAGGATTTGAAAAATAGATTGATCTACTTTAGATTGCTCCTTGTGGACTGATACTTAATCTACTATTTTTCGCTCCATAAGACACACCTTTCCATAAGACGCACCGATTTTTTAGGAGAAGAAAACAGGAAAATATAATCTGTTTTCTTCACTCCATAAGACGCACAGACTTTCCACCCCCCTGTTTTGTGGGGAAAAAGTGAGTCTTATGGTGCAAAAAATACAGTACTTTAGATTGCTCCTTGTGGACTGATACTAAGGATTAATTGCATTTTAAATTTTTATTCATTTTATTTTTGTAGTGTTGTGCCTCATTGGAACATTTCATTTTCATTAATGCCTTAGCATTATTGTGCTTGGAGCATCTATGCAGTTTGAGCTGCTCTAGATCATTTCACTGGTTTTAAATTATATTCTTACATGATTACACTTCAGCCTCCATATGCTATTCTTTCTTAGTAATACTAATTAAGGCAGATCTGAGAGATCTTTAGAGAAAAAAAGGTGGCCCCAAGTGCCCACTTTTCACATTCCAGTGGCATGTTTTGTGCCAGCGCTTCTCCTCCTGATGTTTCCACCCAAAGATCCCCTCAGAATCATGCTTGGAAAAGTTACTTCTTTGAATTTAAACTCCCAATATCTCTGGTAAATATGGCCAGGGAGTTCTGGGTGTTGTAATACAAAAATGTAAATTTTCCATGCTCCAAATGCCACATCCTTAGGTGACATCTTTCTGAGGGCACTACTAAGGAAAAGGAGACAGCTGCAAACTTCGGGAGATACAGGGTCCATGACCCCATGTTATTTGTGTTTCCTGATTTGCAGGAATGGTTTCCTTCACAGAGAGCTGGAACTGCACAAATACTGCCATGGACCTGGGTTGGAAGGTCCCTAAAAGGCACAGAACAAGTTGAGCACATATATATTCTGGAAAGTATATTTTCTGTAAAATAATTCCAGATTGTCTTATCTGGAGAAGATGGAAACAGAAATCTGCTTTACTTTCCTATAAAATGAGCACCTGTAGGAAATATAAGACTGGTGATCAGGGAGCTTTGGAGGAAAGCCCGCACCTTGTTATTTATGCTTAAACCCCACTCAAGACGATTGTCCTTACTCATGGATAACCGATGGTAGGATTGCATCTAGCATACACAAGAACTGGAAAGTGATTTGTGAGTCAGAGCAGCAAACCTGCAATTTCTGTGTCACAATGATCTTGCATTAATGTGGTTGTTTAAATATTTGACCAATCACCAAACCAGAAATGGAGAAAGTTGCTGTTACTATGACTGTTACTTTGCCATTACTGTTACTGTTATTATTCTTAATTTTAGGACTGTAGCCATGCTAGCTAGGGTATTCTGAGAGCTGTAGTTCTTAAAGAAGAAACTTTTCCAGTCTCCATTCCAAACGATTAAATTGCCTCTGGCAGTTATTGGGAAAGTAGTTTATTTCGCGTCCGCCAAAATATTTTTATTTTATTTCTGAGGCTGCAAAACTGCACTTAACAATGCCTAGATGTATTCAGAGCAAGGAGGAGGTTTTGGGCAATGTTTGTGCACGTTTTTCTGTGCTCAAGCAAATGAGGGAAAGAATCCAAAATTGCCTGGGAGGGTAGCTGAGGGGCTGTAGGGGGTGTGTGCACCTCCCTCTCTGCAGATGGAAACGAAGTTCTCCTCACAGCAGAGGCAATGAACTGCTGCTGCCACTGCCACCACTGCCGCTGCTCCTGTTTCACTTATGGTGCCCCAAAGGTGTGGTGGCCCTAAAAATGAAATGCAACTGAAACTGAAAGCCATAGCAGCCTGAGTCCTCTTACTTCCCTGATAGCCAGCTTCCCCTTCAGAGGCCCTACCCTGCATCACTTTTGGAACTGACATAATTTATTCCTTGCAATAAGGGAGGGGAAAGGAAAAGCAGAGTGGCTGCCCTGGCCACAGTGAGCCAATAGAGTTGTGGATTTGGCAGTAGGCCTGCCACAGAATTCCCCATCCTGACAGAATCTCTGCACTGGTGAGGGGGTGGTAGCATGCTGGATTGGGAGCATAGAACAGTCAAATGGCCCACAGGTCTCTACTCCAACATATTACTGTCGACTCCCAGCACCTGTCCCCTTAGATGAGTGACTCACTCTGCCCAGTGGCCCCGCATATAATTTTGTTGAATGAGCAGCTTTTGTTATTGTATCTGTGGCGTTCAGCTCTGCTGCCACAGTATCCAAATTAGAAGATTTTATAAGATGAAATTAGGACACAAAAATCTTTGAAGTCCCAGTGCTCTTTAGTTGTTTCCTAACTATTACTGCTTCCTTGTTTTGTTTGTTGGGTTCTTTTTTTTTTACACACATGCCACTAGATGGTAGTCTTTATATCTTACCATAATTCCTACTACACGAGCCACAGAATAGAATACTTCTGATGCTACTTTACTTCCACCTACAGCCCAATGTGAGATTTCTAGTTCACAAAAAACAGATTTGGGATCATGTATGTCCCTTACACATTCCTGTTTGCTCCATGAATGTCTTATGTACCAATGGTTTAACTCAAATATGCAGTCAGGGAGAAGACTGGCTACTTTGAAACCTTTTTATTCTGATATATTTGTTTGGCTACTGTTTAAGTACAGGACAGCTTTGTATGTAGAAATGAACATGTGTCACACACACACACACACAGAGAGAGAGAGATAGATAGATAGATAGAGAGAGAGAGAGAGAGAGAGAGAGCATATACAGGGTGCAACAAGGTGGCCAAATTATCATGGCCGGGATTGTCCTGGGTCATGGTTAACGGAGCTGCTTTGAGGTGTGGCATGCCATTTGGGACAATCCTTTTACAATCAACCTCACTACACATCAAGCTACCCTGTATCAATCAAACAACAAACTAACTAGCTAACTAGCTAACTAACTCCCCTCCTTGTTGGTTCCTGGTTCCTCTCCTGTGCTTTGCTTTACAGTCATGGGGAACTTAAAGCTTCCTTCTGTTTCCCATGGAGGGGGAGAGAGATAAATCTTTCAGAGGATTTTTTTCTAAATGAAATATATCACTTCAGTGCTGCCTTGCTTCACCTCTTCCCCCCCCCCATGGGGTTGGGGGGGGGACTTTCAAATTCCTGACCTCATCAAGGGACTGTTTAAGCTATCCACTTTGGTTCAGTCTTAGCAATCACATATACTGGAACCAAAGCAAAATCAAGTGATCCTTCCTGTTCTAAAAAAACAGTAGCCCCTGGCAAGGACCCAGTAAGGTGTGGGTAGGCAAAGGTCAGGCATAGTTGGGTTTGCAATGAACCTTACACCATGAAGTTGCCAGGAAAAGGAGCAAACCAGCCCATACCGAGAGCAGACCAAACCATGAGACAAATCCCCATCTACTCGCACTCCTCATTCTGAAGTGTCCCAGGAGGGTTGTACAGTATTATATAATATTCTGTCTATGTAGGTCAGCTTTTAGTACTGAAGACTTGTAAAATCTGGGTTAGTTTCTACATTCAGTATTGCTAAGTTTCAAGGTTTGCTAAAACCTTAATCCTGGAAGAAGGTGGAATGATTTTGACGATTCACTTGATTGTAACATCTAGAACAATGTGGCAAATGAACTGAAAATGTTGTTATACAAAAACTGCCAAGTGCTGAAAGGCTTCCTGCTAGTGTAGTGTCAGATACAGATCGTGTGCCTGTTATAAAGCTGCCACTGAGAATGCTCTGGAGCGTGTGCTCTTTGACTTGATTTCTTGTCAACATTTGCACTTGCAACAGGCAAGGGCAGCAAAGGAGATCGCTCCAAGAGCAAGAGTATCATCTGTTACTACAACACATATCAGATGGTTCAGTTTGATAGGTTACCTTTGGTAGTGAGTTTCATTGCAAAGCAGCAACACCAATAAGGGATTAATCATAAACTCAGAAAAAGAATTTGCTCCCTTGTTTGAAGAGCTGTGGCAAGCTGTGGAGGCTTTCTTAACTTGAGGTTAAGTACCAGAGTGCAGCATCTCTTCCAGACCAAGTGGCAGGTACTTTCAACCACCCATCACATTGGTCTTGAAGAAAATACTATTTTGTCTTAATATTCTAAATGTTTAAACCATACATAGTGCTAAACCTGAAGTGAAAGATCAGTATGTTTCTAGAGGAAGAACAGGAGATGTGAATTACAGTCATGGCTGCCACTGAGTTGCGGGGTATTGTGGGAACCATCTGATAACTCCTGAAGAGTTAACCTCAGCCTATACAAAATATGCCACCCACAACACCTCTCACTGCACTGTTGCATTTTTTCCTGTCTTCTGAGCTACCGTGCTATAAAAGGGGAGAAGAAAATGTCTCTCGGACAATATACCTTGAGAATTTGCTAGTACTGATACACAATCAGTGACTCATGTTATGTTCGGAGAGCTAAATACTAATAGACCTGTTAGAGTTAAATGTTTTTCTGCAAATACATTCATTAAAGTCCTTTTCAGTACTTCCTCAAACCTTTTTATACAACAATTGAACCAAACAATGTGTTTTCTCTTCATACTCATCTATAAAATGCTACAGCTGAACTCTCCATATCATCCCAGTCCTATCTGATGTCTGAGTATGTACAATTGGGGCACTTGACTGATTCATTTCTGTGCTGGTTCTGAGACAAATCTGAATATAATTTTTTCAAAAAACATTGCTAGCTTCCAGATTTTTTTATGTCCAGGATTACCAGGGAGGTCATGCTGCCAGGTATGTGGTAAGCGTGGCCTTTTGGAAGTCACTGGACTTAAACTCTCAACACCTCAAAGTACCATAACAGGTGATGGGAAGAGAGTTGCAGTGCAGCAACATCAAGAGGGTAACATGTTCCTTGCCCTTTAACACTCAGTATTTCTGCATTTCTGTACTGCACAGTCATAAAATGTTGTTGGTGCTGAAATATGCTAAAGTTAATCCAAGTGGTCAGTGTGAATCACTTACTTCTTTCTTAATCTGCTTCCAGTCTCTGTGGCTTTGAACCATTCTATGATGAAAGAGGAGACCAGTATATGTTCAAGAGGATTCTGAACTGCGAATATGACTTTGTTTCCCCTTGGTGGGATGATGTATCTCTGAACGCCAAGGATTTGGTATGTTGAGCAAATGCCACCATTGTTTGATGTTGTTGTTTCTACTACTTATATACCATCTCATAGTGCTAAAGCACTCTCTAGATGGTTTAAAGCACAATTATGCAAATAACACTTTGCATCCTAGCAACCTCAGAAGGATGAAAGGTTGAGTCATCCTTGAGCTGGCTTCCGGAATCTATTCGGATTGAACTCGGGTTGTGAGCAGAGGTTTGACTGCAGTACTGCAATTTGACCACTGCTGCTTGGAGCTCATTTGATGTTAATTAAGTGGGACCCTGGTATCTGTGGGATCAGTATTTGTGGTTTCACTTATTTACAGTTTGCCACAGTGCTATGTACAACATACAAGGGTGCCCCCTTGTGCCCTTTGTCCTGCCCCTTTGTATGTTGTATATAGGGTTCCTTCATATCTGTTGTTTCAGTCATTCACAGTGGATATGGGGATCCTACTGTACAGAAAAATGATAAATATTTTTAATTATCACAGATTAGCCAAAAAAAGAAGAATGCAAATACTGCATCTTTGATTCTTGCATCTAGAAGGGGAATTTCATACTGAACAACTGGTGCTGGGCACTGCTGGCTTTGACAAAAGTGACTGCTGATGGTTTCCATCCATACTTCCCCATTATTGCTAGAATCCACATTGTTCACAAAGAGTTTCTTCAGTGTTGTCAGGGTTGACAATTTCAACCATCTGTCAACAGAGCTTGGAAAACTTACTACTGTATATTGAATCACAATGCTGAGAACACCTCAGCCAAAGTAGCCACCGGCTATTTTCTCTGAGGGACTCTCAGGCTTGGAGTCCAAAAAGCGCCTTTCCAAACATTTACCTGTTGTGTAGCCAGATGTTAGAAAGATGTTCTTTTCAGTACAGTTTATGTTTCTTACTATGCAGGTAAAGAAGCTAATTGTGCTTGACCCCAAGAAACGGCTTACTACATTTCAAGCTTTACAGCACCCCTGGGTCACAGGGAAGGCAGCTAATTTTGCTCACATGGATACAGCCCAAAAGAAACTCCAAGAATTCAATGCTCGGCGTAAACTCAAGGTATATTTTGGAGGGGAGGGCATTTTAAATAGATTTTTTTTTTGAAAAAAAAGTTTTCCTACTACCACTGAAAGCTTTTACTTAGTGATATTTTTCATTATTCCCATGAAATGTGACAGCATTCCTTAAAATATATGGTTAAAACAACAATATAAAGTTTCATTCCTCAATTGCTTTGGTCACAGCACTGGCTTCTTTGTGGGCATAAAGATTTCGTCCATCCATGAAAGGCTGCTAATCCAGCAAAGTACTTTTGCAGGAGGAATGGAGGACGAGGCCACATTCTTTGTGTGCTGCCTCCCCTTTCAGACCTTCTTAGAAATGTGATTTGGATGGCTGAGAACCTTCCAGAAGAGGGGTGATAGAGGTGGCTCCAGCTGAAGGAAAGAATCGGCACAAATCCCCTCCTCCCTCTCTTCCATCAGCAGGAGAATTCTGGACTGAACTCCACACAGTGCACTGGGAATTAGTACAGATGCAAGGTCTGCCACATGGTTCTTTCAGGGGTAAAAGTGTGTCTTTTGGAACCAGCTGGATAGTTTTGCACTGCCATCCTCTTCTCTCTAAGGGTGTGATGACATAGCAGGGAAAATGTAACTGAATCCACTATGAAGTCTCACGAAAAATGTTGCCCTGAATGAGTTATATTTCGCTGAACACACAAGAGTCTGGAAGAAGAGAGGAGGAAAGTGGCAATCGTTCTTATTCGCATCTTGTTAAGATAGCTCTGCCTAGTCTCTCCAGATTTGCAGGAGGCACGGCTACATGAGAGCTACCTGAACAAGCTGCTGAAACTGCAAAGAGCTACCATAGCAAGCAGTTTCCGCCTCAAAGGTTGTTTTTTTTTTACCCTTTGATCTCCATTTGCCCTGATGCACTAGCAAATGCACTAAGCTCCCTCTCCCTGTTTTTGAAGAAATGGTTTGGAGACAAATGGTGCTTGGTTGAGGGGAACTGCCACCCTTGTGAGTGCCTCTGCTTCCTTGTCTCCCCACCTTGAACTAGGAAGCTGGAAGAGTCAGCTTCTAGTTGTCCATTCAGTACCACCTGAAGCAATCACACTGACTGAGCCAGTGTGAATGCATCCAGTTGAGAGTAGCGGCAGAGAGAAAAAGCAGAGATTAAAGGTAAAAAACTCCAGGCTGATTTACTTTGACTTGTACATCATACAGTCGACAGAGAATAATATGAATCAGACCATCTCAGTCCTGAAGCATTTCCTTCATTATTTGTCAATGTAGTTTTCCCCCAAGAGAATTAAGAGTTCATGGAATAACATCCTCAGATATTTAGTCTTTTAAAAAAATCCAAGAAAGGTAATATGAGCTACATTTTAATAAATATATCTAGGATTCTCTTAATGAGTCAGGGAAATAATGTCAAAAAATAATACTGCAATAGTGTCCTCCAGTATCAAGTTTTTAAACTTGTTTATTTCAGTATGATTTAAAATGTGTTCATAGTTTTAGTCACTGCTCTCACTGGGTCCTAGTAAATCAGTCCTATTACTGTGTGACTACTGCCTGTTTAAATGACTGTAATGCTTACTAATATTACTATTATGCATTTGATCTGATTCTATTGTTACAGAGCTTTACATGTCTGAATTTTTCTCACTTGTGTATTAAAGGTTGTTGATTTATCAACTTCACTGTGATATCTGTTTTTCCCTCTTCTTTCATCTTTGTATGAAAATGGCAAATAAAAATTCTAGATTCTTACCAAGATGAGCCTGTCAAAGAGATAGATACTGTTCTTGAGCAACAGGCCTCTCTTCTCCCATCCCTGCTTCTGTATTCACCTTCTCACTCCCCACCCTCACATCTTACCAAAACGGTCCAGTGACCCTCCATAATTGACAGGCTGTGGTATGCAGTGAAGGGGTTAATCCTTGGAAATCAAAGGCATCCTCTGTGAACAAAGTGATGGTAACAAAAGGCACCTCTGGCTAATTTCCAACCCCCGGCTCCATTTACCAGAATTCCTGTATCTTCAGGCTGGAGAGGCTGCCATGTGGAGAAAAGGGTCTGGGGCCAGCTCAGCTGCACAAACCTAAATCTCGGTTTAGTCCACTATATGAGTGATCCCAGACAAGGGGAGGTCTTCTGAGATACACTTAGACATGGAAATGTCTGGATACAAAATGTTTATTCAGTTAAGATGTATCACATTTGGACTTTAAAGAAACAGGCTAAGACCCCAGGTGTTTCTTTTGTTATGGTTTGTGGGAAGGGAGACTATTTGCTAGACCAGAGTTACTTAGGTTGGGGGTATACAGTATTTCTACTTGGTAAGCAGACTTTGATAAAGTCAAATAGACCTTGATACTAAGACCCTAGGTGTTTCTTTTGTTATGGTTTGTGTGAAGGGAGACTATTTGCTAGACCAGAGGGTATACAGTATTTCTATTTGGTAAGTAGACTTTGATAAAGTCAAATAGACCTTGATAAACCTAAAGTTCACACCTAGGTAAAAATAATCAACACATGTCAGAGGAAACCTAACTTCCTGGGCTTTCAACAGCATCCTATGTTATAAACCAGGACTTGCTCCCCACCCTCACATCTTACCAAAATGGTCAAGTGATCTGATCTGTAAATCAGGACTTTTTTCCAGTAACAGCTTCCTAGGCTACAAACCAAAATTCCTTTTCTATGCAAAACTTTCCTAGCTTCTGCACCAGAGACTGGTTCTGCATAACACTTTCCTGTGCAAAAAAATTAGGGCATAATTCCATGCAGTGTTTTCCTGGTCTGCAAAACAGGGTTTGGTTCTATGCAACATTTTCCCCAGGTCATAAACTAGAGGTCCTATTCCACACAAAGTTTTTCCAGTCTGCAAATGAGGGTTCAGTGCCATGCAACAGCTTGCCAAGCTTTAAATAGCTTCTTCTCTGTGATTAGTAGAAGAAGCTTGTAGATCAGGATTCACCATGGACTTAAATTGGCCTGCAGGCTGGAGCTTCTTCATTAATGTATTAGGATATGGTTATTGCCTTGGTTTGGTAAAAAGTAGAGACAGATGGCCACTGCCCTCGATCAGTGCAACAAGACCATAGAATACGTGAAAGAATAACAGAAGCAACATATAACAGCATCTCTTTTTTCTTTACACAATCAGGCTGCAGTGAAGGCTGTTGTTGCATCAACTCGTCTTGGAAGTGCAAGCTGCCACAACAACCAAGACGGAAATAAACCAAGTCAAAACCAGCCTCTAGGTCCAGAAAATGAGGCTGAAGAAAAAGTAGCAGAAAAAGAAGCAGCAGCAAGTCTCATTGAAATTCAGGAAGCAGTCTTTCAGGAAAAAATGCCCGAAGAAGAGCCTTAGGATCTTGGGGTATCTTCTTTCAGCTGAGTTGTGTCATTTTGTGCACCAGCCAAGTTACCGTTCAGCAAGGAAGAAACGTCTAAGCCTTGGCCATTCTGGAGTGGCTTTGCTGGGAGATGCAAAACGCTCTAGCTGGTGACCTGAACTTCAATGCATGTGACTGGTACTGACCAAAAAATAAAACAATAGTAAACAGTATTTTATTGGCATGCCATGGATAAAGTGATATTTACAGTAATACCAACAAGTGAAGGAGAGCAAGGAGAGTGTGAGCCCTCCTTATGATCAACTCATATGTATATCTCATGTAGAGTGTTTATAGATGACCTCTAAAAGGAAGGATGATTCTGACTTAGGCAAGGTAGTCATTTTCTATAGATCATGGCATTTCTTTTATATGCTTCCTTTTAAACTCATAGGCACTCAGTAGACTGATGGGATTAAAAGATCCACTAGGTATTTTTAAAATAGCCAATGGAATGTTTTGCATCTGTCATTGAGAATTTACAAACTGTTTACAATTGAGAACTTAGGGATTTATATGCAAAAACATTCCACACATTCCTGTGAAAGAGTGAAATGTACCTTCAGATGGTTCTGAAATTGTCTGCTATTGAAGCCCATGTTAAGAATGCCTTACTTCTCTCAGTAACCATTTCTATACAGTATTTTGATGATAACCAAAATATCTCCCAGACTTCTGCCATGCCATTGTCACTTTCGCAAACTGATGCTAAGAGCAGGAGGCAAACAAAGATGTCATTCTTAAGGGCCTATAGGAATAAATCATGACTGCACCTGTTTGTATGGGTGGGGAATATCAATCTGCAGCTATAGAATAGTTCTGCATGAAGAATATACAATTCTACATTTACTGTGGGAGAACATTTAAGATACTGCAGAAAGCAAGAGGTGGAATGTGAAGATAGAAATGCATAGCTGGGGATACTGAAGGGTTGTGCAACCAGGGTTTTTTTTACCTGCTGGTGTAAATTTATCAATAGAGGTGTGCCAAGAAAAATCAGTACAAGGGCAGATTTGGGCACTTGTCTTACGAATAGTCAGGTATGATCAGGTATGATCTATGTGAATTGAAAAATCAGTTAAATGGATGTTTAAGAGTAAGCATCTGTCTGTAAAATATTTTATTGCACTTGAATTTCTTAGCATACAATAGAAACAAGATATTGGAAAATGACTATTATAGCACAATCCTACCTGTGTTTAGTGGGACTTACTCTCCAGTAATTAAGTAAAGGATTGCAGTCTCAGTTGCTTCTTAGGTACTTATCTGATATTCTCATGTCTTAGTTATTCTTCAATTTCTTACTCCTTTCCCCTGATATTCTCATGTCTTAGATAGTTATTCTTCAATTTCTTACTCCTTTCCTTTTCAGTAATATTTCTGAGCAGACAGTACCAAACTCAGTTATGCCAAGAGTACGCACAGAAATAAAGAGTATGCATCAGTTGTGTTTTCTTTCTCTTGCAGATATAAACAAGGCTAACAACTATTTATATAAGGTTTGGTATATTAAAACTGCTTTATTTACTACTGATTAGAAGATGACATTTTTTCAGTAAAAACATCCTATATGATTTTTAAAAATCCATTTTTAAAAAATACCATGATATTTTGACACATTTTTAAAGCACTCATAATAGAAACTTCCATGGAAAACATTCATTTAGCACAAGACTATCGTGTCCAAGCACAACAAATCACTACGTTCCAAGGTCTTTTTCTTGGAAGGAAGAACAGAGGTGGATTTTATATTTTGTCCTGGCAGCTTAACTTTGTGCTTGGAGGGAAAAAAAATCAAAGAGCATGCCTGAAAAAGCACTGCATGCTCCAGAGCATCTGTAGAGATGATGATTACAATCAGAATGATGACTTAGATATCACCCCATAGTGCCAGACCACTCTCTGGGTTGTTTACAACATAATTATGCAAACAACACCCCCCCCCAAAAAATGAGCTGGGTATGCACTTTATGGATCTCGGAAAGATGGAAGGCTGAGTCAACTCTGAGCTGGCTATCCAAACCCATTGGGATCTAATTCAGGTCATGAGCAGAAGCTTGACTGCAATACAGCAGTTTAACCACTGCACCATGGGGCTCATTCACCACAGCATGATTCTTTTTCTTCTATGGAGGGCCATACTTTGGACTTGCATTGAGATTCCCCATTGCTTGTGAGTTCTGTGATATATTCAACAGGACGGATGTTCTCTGTGCATATAGAGGTGCATCATTCTGTGTCCCATTAAAATGTCTCAAGATTGCTCTGTCAGCTGTATCACATGACCTGCGGTATTAGTGGTCCAGATTATGCAGCCCGGTATTTGGATCAGGTTATTGCTGTCAGGAACATAATTGCTTTGTTTTTAATACTCTGCCACTGTGAAAACACAAGTGATGAATGGTGCTTTGCTGGCTTCTTATAAGTCTGTGGTGCTTAGGTATCCCTCCAGATATTCTTTCAGAAAGTTAACCTTCTGATTGAATGAAATAGCACGTTTGCAGAAGTTTGAGAATCTGGTGTTGTGACTAATGACAGAATGTAGGAGTTGCAGCATCTCGTCTCAATGTGATCTGTGGGGCAATCAAAACATGAGGAAATTCAAAGTTCATTTCAGAATTTACAGCTGTAAATGTACTTGGTCATCTATATGCGAAGCTGGGCACGTGGTTGAGTACATGTACTTTGTACATGTGGAAAATGAGCCTTAGCATATACTGTATTTGTGCTACGATTTCTTTCATGTTGATGAAGCTACAAAGTATTAGAGTGGGCTCCTAATCCTTTGCTTCTCCACCTTTATTTATTGATAATGTTTGTTATTTCACATTAATATTGCTATCATGGAGATCTGTGATTAAATATTTAACAGACCCAGGCAGGATAACAAAAGAGTAATGGGGTATGGCGAAGGAAAGATAACACAGTTCGGGACCCATTCTTGTTCCTTATTCATTTAATAGATGGGAACTTTCTTTTTCTGTAGTCATTTTCTAATCATGTACTTTGTAATTACTAGTCAGTTTATTGGGAAAGAATCCTCCTCAATCACTACCCTGCCCATACATATACAGTATATACATCCGAGACTCTACTGCACCAAGTGTATGTTCTAATAATATGCATCACTGTGAATCAAGGGAGTGTGTTGCATTTGATTCCCGTCTGGGTTGTAGGAATTCCTGTTGTTAAAGAGTACTTCAGGTCAGTCTTGTGCATATTTATCCAGCATTCAGTCCTATGGAATTCAGTGGAATTTTCTGCCAAGATGGTATGCATAGGATTGCAGCCTTAAAGTGTGATTTTGGCTTTGAGTTTGTTTGAGGGGTAGTGTTGACATTTCCTGCAATAGGGAAAAAGAAGCTCATTGTGACAAACACCCAAGTTGTTTGTTTATGTTGAACACATCCTATTCATAAAGCTAGACAAGGTTGCTTTTCTTGTTGGGACAGGTATGGTTAGGTTAATCAATGGTTATCAATTATGGTATGCTGACTTCCATGTTGCTGTTTCAAGAGTTCCTGGATGGAAAACAGTAGCAAATCAATCAACAGGCTTAGATCTATTTGATCTCTGTTTGATTATTATACTCCAGGCTACAGCCACAACAGACCCATGGGTGACAGACACTGTAAATTATTAAAACAGGGTTTTGCAATCCCAGTAGGTTTAACGGCCAAATTCTTGCCCCCAGGCCCTAGACTGGGCAACACCAGACATAGGAATGGCCAGAAATATTTTTTTTTTGGAAAATAAACAAACAGGAAATGCCCTCACATTCACTTCAATTTTTCTATTTGGGAAGTAAATGGGACTCTTTAGGGAACATCCTGAAGTCCTCCAAGTTGAAAACTGTCCCTCCTGCAGGCTTCCAGGAGTCAGAATACACCCTTATTTGCCCAAAATATGTGCATGGGATTTTCTCAGAGGGGCTCTAGGTAGTCTTGAGGGCACACTTGTTGCCAGGACTGGGCTGATAGGGAGTACCAGAGAGAGGTAAGTGGGATCTGTCTCAAAATATGCTGTAGTGTGAATGGTTCCTGTTCTAAGTTTTTATCACTAGATTCCATTCTGTCTCCTAGCCTGGATTTCTATTTTATTCCACAACAGCGAGACAGCATTCTGTGCCAAATGACTATGTCCATAGGGCTATGAGGGGATTGGTGCCCCACTAAGGGTTTCTTCCTTACTATTTTTATAGTTATGCAAACCTTGAAGTCCCACATGCCTCATAATACTTTCCTTGTCTGTGGGTGGTGCCCTTTTGACAGCAGAGGACCAGCACTCAGAGAACTGAGTTTGTTAACTAGTTGTTTGATCCAATTTCAGGGGAGTAAATGGTAGCGCCATACTGCAGCTCTGTATCTGTATGGGTGTATACTATGGTGTTATCTACACACATGGTTTCAGTAGGGATCTTCGTCATGAGGCTTTGTGGATCAGTAAACGTGACTACTGGGAATAGTAGGAGTGGGGTTTGGCTTGTAGTTGCATCAGGTCAGCAAATAATGGTTTACACTGGCCTTGTGCACCAGGATTAAAGCTCCGATCAAACCTGTAGCTTGTAATCTCACGTTCAGGGAAGTGCAGACCACAACTGACTAATGACAAAATAACAAAGCATTGTTTTCTTTAAAAACCAAGAAAGGAAGGAGGGAATTGCCATGCATCCAAAGAGGAGGCAAGAGTTCCTGGAAGGTTTTTCATCATATTTTCAAAGGATGCTTTGGCCTTGCCTGGACTAGCCTGGTACAAAGGCAAGAGGGATTATGAAAGCACCTCCTTTTGCTCTGTTCAGCCTGCTTTTCTTTCCAGTCACAGCTTCTCATGCAGCACTTGTATTTGACTGTGCAAATACAAGTTATGATGTATCCCAAAAGGCTTCCTAGACCAAAAATATAGAGAGAATATGCTTGTACAGGCATGAATTATCTGATATCATTCACAGCTAATCCAGGGTACTAGTGTGGATGCATCACACTAGTGTGGATGTAACTAGCAACCTAGTCACATCATGAAGTAACTAGGTTGCTTTTTTCTCCCAACGTCAGATTCGATACATATCCACCATGTGAAATATGAAGTACACAAAAAGTCTTTATAGTATTAAAAATTATAATTTGCAGGTGCATGTGATACATATCCACCATGTAAAATAAGGAGTACACAAAAAGTCTTTATAGTGTGTATTAAAAATTATAATTTGCAGGTGCATGGAAGTGCATCATGCAGTCCACAGGCAGCACCTTGCTCACTCCCCATGCATTTGTATATAAAATGCTGTGAACACAGAAAACACTCTACAAATTCTAAGGATTGCTTCAGCCTGGAAGGAGGATTGTCTGTTTATTGCTTCTGCTCCACAGTCTTGTGTGCACTCTACTGAAATATGTAGGTCACCGCTCTGAAAAGCAAAGCAGGGACACAATCTAACACAGAATTTACAGTACAGTGGTACTGAATATGCCTTGCTTGAAGGTATATATGAAATTGCAGCCCGAATTCATGATTACATTCCTATGAATGTCTACTCAGAAGTAGTTCCTACTGAGTTCAGTAGAACTTTTTCCCAAATAGGATTCCATTATAAGATTATTAGAATTGGTTTAAAAAATCTGAGGATTCCATTATAAGATTATTAGAATTGGTTTTAAAAATCCGTGTTATGGTCTAAAAAGGATGAAGGACTACCTTTGTTTTTCTATATGTAACCATGAGATGCATGCTTAACACTTTTTTTAAAAAAGGGATGGGGATCAGCAAATGGCCAAGGGGTGGCTTCAGCAGCACTTGTGAATACTGAACTGAGATGTTTCTTCTGTATGTTTCCACCTCTACTGTTGCGACTTCCTCCTAACACCTAGCACTTTTATATTGCTTTGATATGTCGAATATCTGTTGTTTTTCATTAACAGTGTAACCCAAAACTTTGTGGAAATGCCTGCTAGACAAAAAAAAAACAGATCACATTTTCTTAACCTTTCTGTTCCTTGAGAGATGAAGTGTTATGGAATCAAGTATCTAGTTTCAAGATACTTGATTGCCTTTTCTGCAGCATTAATGAATTGGGAGCTTACTTAGGCACTCATATACCAATACAGAAACCGGTACTTGCAGAATTAAGAGGACAGATACACTTGGATGCTGGAACATTTAAGAAGTGATTTGCATGTACAATACGAAAAAATAAACAAATATCCTTTGGATTCCTCTGTGTCATTCTGTGAGAATAGAAATGTCACATAGCTTCAGCATGGGTGGATCTTCTAGCACGTGCCACTCAGTAACCACCAACCAAAATGACCCATGTACATTTTTATAGAATTCAGTCATCCCAATTAGAGCTGCTCTGAGGACCTCATGGAAACATGAGGTCATACATTGCTGGCTGTGATCTGGTAGCTTTCTGCTTATAAAAAGCAACCAGCTTCTGTGTTCCCCGTGTCAGAGGAACTGAAATGTCTCCTGCAATTCAGGAACTCATGTCTACCAAGATCTAACAGCAGTTTGAGGAACGTTGTGGTGTTTTATGAGCAGTATCTCACAATAAGCACATATGGATCTATGCCCAGTGGTTATAGAGGAAATCTCAAAACATACTTGCACTCAATAATATATCAGCAGCCTGGTTATGAGAACTAGGGGATCCTCTGCTCACAGTCCTAGCCATGATTTGAGTTTAGGGCAAACTCATCAGATGTTTTCCCCTGATGGTTTAAATTTAAAAATTTGATTTTTTTAAAAAAAAAAATCAGGTTTATTTAACGATTTAAAGTATTTTTATTATTGAAATCAATTTTTTAAAAAAAATTATTTATTTTCTCCACCCTGATTTGAGGCAAAGCAACTTATGAACAAGCCTGCCATTGCCATTAAGGGAGAACAGGGAAGCAGAGCTTTAAAAGTGACTCTATCTGGACTACACCTCCCAGAAATCCTCCAGGCAGTAGACCCAAAGAATTACAAAATAAATGGACATAAGACATAGGAAACAAGAATAGTACAAGAAAGTTAAACGCGCATCTGATGCAACACACTTTGAGCTTGGAAATGGAGCAGAAAGACAAAAAATCTGGTTGCACATGTGGTACATAGGCAGAAGTGGGGGATATTCAGGAAAAGGAGACGAAAACTCGGGTGATACTATCTACCAAGGAACTGAGTTTGAAGGAATGCATTGCATTTCTTTTTCTTGGGTCACAGCCACCCCTGGCCTTCAATATGATGAAGCACTATTCGCCAGCAGAAGGTCTGAGTTCATTCCTTATATTCTCTAGTCAGAAGAAGAAAGTAATAAGATGGTCATCTGTCCTGTATTTGAGGGACTGCATTGTGCATGTCTGATTTAAAGATGAAAAGGCATGAAGAACACAGACCTTGAAGCTGAACATCCACAAGGAGCACCCGGGCAGCAGACTTCCAGCCACACAACTCACTGTCTTTTCTCCTTGAAAGAGATCCATTGCAATTCTGTCTGAATTATAAAAATACTTTTCTAATTTTGTAGCTGTATACATTAAATTTGCAACAAAATGCAAATTAGCTCTAGCTTTTGTCATCTGTTCTAGTGAAATGCAAGTGCCCTCTTCAGGTAACCAGTTTGCTTTCTAAGCCTTGTTGAATTGCTGCAATCAAACTGAACAATGGCAGGCTAGACAAGACCAATGATTAGACCAAATACAAGACAATTCATATATCCATGAGTGAAGTAATCCTAATTATATTTTAATTATTTAAAAAAGATTTGAACATAATTCTTTAATATACATAATAAACATCTATAGTCTCATATTGGTTATTATACAGAACAGAATAACATCATAATTCTCTTATTCTCTTTAGTAGAAGCATGATCTCAATGAACAGAGGCAAATTTCTTTACCTTCAGTGGAATTGCTATCACTTGTGCCAGCAAGTGAATTTAAAAACATCTGCTTGAATCATTAAAGTATATTAAGAATTTCTTTAAAAGGAATCATTATGAAACTACTTTACCAATGAAAAGAAGTCACAGAAAATTATTTCTTCCAAGAGCAGCTTCACAGTGTTATTAAACTGTTCTTAAAGAAAATATTGAATCAATATTTGAGTCCTATCAGGATAAAGACTGATGTACCATGAAATGGGAGCACTTTTCTTACTGAAATAGATGGCGTTTTACTTTTAATAACCATAGTAATTTTGTACATATTCACATGCTTTACTTCTTTGCTACTAATACTGATACTAATGTTTTGTTGCTGCTGCTACTAATTCATATTTTCAATCAATCTAATGACAAGTTATTCCTTATAATCCTTACAAGGATTAAAAAATAAAATAAACTATGGATTGAAACAGAACCGATTGGTTCTGTTGTGTCAATGTTTTTGTTTCTGAGGACAGCATGGCTTTTAAGACGGAAACTCTTAGAATTGGTAAGCAACCCATATCAAATGAAAGCATGAAGATTTATTTGCATATTTAAACATTCAGCCCTTTTGAACTAAAAAAAGTGCAAGGCTGTTCCTCACTTATCCAGCCCCAGTCCTATGCTGTATACTCAAGAGGTAATTTGCACTTCCCATTTTTCAAAAAACAAACAAACAAACAAACCCTCAGGTCACCTTTCTATATTTATAAATAAACTTTCTTTTATCATAATAATGCCATTTACAATGTATTTCCTGAGTTCAGTCAAAAGTATTCATTTTTACATTTGCTGTGCCAATGAACACTACATGCATACTGATGCCCTTTTTTTCTGAAAAATATAAGGCCATTTTAATTCAATTCTCTTAACTCTAGTTAACCTGGAACACTCCACTCAAGTACACACCCATTCATCTCATCAAAGAAACAAAGACTGAATGATCAGAAATCCACATCATTGCTAACCAAGAAGGGAAATCTTACATGGTTTTTTAAAAGTCTGACAAATTCATGGAAAATAAGGCTATTGATAACTGCTAGTCATGGTTCTGGGTCACCTTCAGAATCAGAGCCAGGATGCCTCTAAATATCACTTGCAGGGGAACAACAGCAAATGAAGGCTTCATATCATGTCCTAACGAGGAACATATCAGATGTAACTCTGGGAAATAGGCCTTTGGCTTGATCTTGTGACACATTACATTCCTAGGCTTTCACGTTCAGCTATAGTTTCCCCCATATTTATGCCTAAAACATCTTTATACTGTGCTGCAAAGGTGCCCACTGTATTTCCATGCAATTCTTTAGAGATGCATTGGGAAATTAGTGGGTGAGTTAGTTTCCATGCCATAACATGCCAAATGTTCTCATAGACCCATATATACGCATATATACATACATACACATTGCATCTGCAAAGCAAGCACTTGATATGGTCTCCTATACAGCCACCAAAATGGCCTTTAAGGCTTTTCAACTGTATAAAGCAATTTGGCATCAAAGCTGTTGCAAACGGACCTGTTATTCCTGTTCCTCTGCCCCTTTCCCCTGATCTTCCCTTTAAAAATAATCGTACATACACTCTCTGATGAGTTTTCAGAATCTCTTGGAAGTGAACATGTACTCAATGTATGCTGTTAACCTCACTTATCTTCTTCACATTTTCCAATGTTTATCTGAAGCTAAGTTTACATGACACATTGTACCTTAGCTTTTGATGTTTCTGAATATTCACTACTACATACTCTGGGAAGGGTTTCCAAGATTGGGAGTAGTGTCACAAGATGCTTGTTACGTTCCTGGCTTGGAGGATGCAAGCCCACAAAGTGGATATGGAGAGATCTCACATCCACTGAATGAAACCAGTTGTATTATGCAGAAACTTCTTTCTTTGTGCAGCTATCTCTTGCTATAACCTAAATCCAAGTGATAGTTCCAACTCAAGTAGAACCATTCAGTCAGTGGAACTGATGAAAGATGGGTCTACTCCACCTAAAAGTATCAAATGGATTTAGACCTATAGTACATATATAGCCTCACCTCATTACAGAGAACAATCCAGAGCAATGCACATAAAACTTTGTATTTTTCTCTCTCTTTATCTATAAACACTTTCCCACTCCCCTTGTTGGGAGTGCTGTGCTACTCCAAAGCATATACTTGGTAACACTAACCCCAGTTCAAATAGAGACTGAAACATATGTTACTAATTCCTGTTTTGGGATGAGACCAATCGCATGACCTTACACCAAGGGTGGGCACCTTGTAGCCCATTGGCAGTGTGATCCTTCAGAGGGCCCAACACATCCCTAGCACCTCTGGGGGCCCCATTCCCCCAACGGAAGAACACTGAAACACACTCAAAATGTTCCTTTGTGCCCTTTATGGAATGGGGCAATTTTGCTATGTTTTGCCCATTCCCTCAAAAAAAGGTACAAAGACGCTTTTTCATTCCTCCCCATTTTTTGTAAGAAAAAAAATGTAGGGAAGGCAAGGGAGATGCACCTCCATAAGGTCTCAGGATGGGTGTGTATTCAGCCTTCATGAGTCTGGGTTAGCTCTTCCCTGCCTTACGACTCAAGGTATAAACACAGTGTAAAAGTGTGAAATATGTGAAAAAACTTCCTTATCTTTCTGCAACGTGCATCATGTGTGGAAGTTCAGTTGCACAAACAATGCATCAAGAGATCACCCTAGAAACATACATTTTAAAAATAAAAACCAACATACAAGTAAAATGCAGCAAATATCAAAATTACTTTGCTTTACAGAAGTCCTTGAGGTCACTCAGCTTTTTATAACACTAGTCTTCATTTTGTCACTCATTCCCTGAAAATCACAAAAAATTCTTATGCCCCATGTTCAGATGCAGATAACATCATGTGTTTAGCCAAAGATAGCTGGGAATAAACATTCTACTCATGGTGCAGTGTGGATGAATGCATGCAGCCTCCACCAACACTGTGGATGCTTCATAGCAAATGGCAATCCAGATGTTTCCACCAAAAGCAAAGTTCAAAAAGGATATTATTGGGGACTAAAATTTCCATAATCTCCCAGTGGCTATGCTGGGTGGTGGATTCTGGGAGTTGTAGTCCCAAAAGTATCTCTTCCAAGTGATGCCACGGAGGTCTCAAATTCCAACTTCGTTGGAGCAGAACAGCTTCCCATTCATTCACAGATCATTACGGTGGACCCAGAGCCTGGCCAGCCCCAAATGCCAACCAAGGCATGAGGCTGGCCCCAGGAGAAAACAGGATGCTGGGCTGGAGAAGCTCTTTGTCTGATCCAACAGGGCTCTCTTCAAAATCTATAAAATGAAAACCTGTTTCCTGCTACCTTGGGTTGCAAAGATGTGAATATTAAAAGAACAAATTGGGGCGAGTGCATTTCTGAGGCATTATCAACAGTTTTTCAGACTACCATGCAAAATAATAATAATAATAATAACACCTCTGACAAAGCAAGTCTGAGTTAGACTCAGTGGGCCTTATGTCAGAGCAAACACAATCCCAACTGGTCTGTGCAAATGGGACCACCTGGCACCAAAAGGGAAATCACAGCAAATCTTCATGCAGGAAACTTCCAACCTCCCCTATGTTTAAACATCTACGGTGCAAAGCAGGGGATGTTCACAGTCTGATTATGCTTTCAGAGCTTTCCTGAGATCTGAATAAAAGTTAGCCAGGGTACTAGCCATGGCTGTGTCCACTGCAGACTGGGGGAGCATCCCACGCAGATCCGTCTGAATAAAGCCCATCAGCAGGCTGTGTCTAGGGTTGTCCTTGAGTGGGAAGCAGAACCAGCCACAGGGGTGGTTGAAGCCTCTCACAAAGTTCGGTCTTACTTCACCATAATCCAGGCTAATACCTGTTTTAAACAAAACAGTGTAAGCTATTGACACACTTGGGTAAAATGAATACACCTATTTCTGTCCATGCAGCATGTTAAAGAAACTTATTGTGATTAAAATCCAAAGATCCTGGTGAGGGAAATTTCCTTCTGACAACCCAAACAATAAGACTAGGAAGCCTACAGTGTCAGCAGATGATGAGATGGCAAGGAAAGTTTTACCCAGACAGAAAAAAAGCAGGGAAGTATTTGTGTATACTAAACCAAGTGGCTAATTTTTCAGCCTGTTCTGACCTGTAGAGGCATATGAAGGCTGGATTGTTGTTACCTGCCATTAAGTTGCCTCTAACTTACGGTGACCCTATGAATGAACAATCTTCAGGCTCTGGTCAGGTCTTGAAAACTCAAGTGTGTGGGTTCCTTTAGGGAGTCAATTCATCTCGTATTTGGTCTTCCTCTTTTCCTGCCACTTTCTTCTTCTCCCAGAATTATTGTGTTTTTTTTTTCCCAGAGCATCCTGCCTTCTCATATGCTCAAAGCAGGGCAGACTCAGTTTCATCATTTTTTCCCTTTAGAGATAGTTCAGGCTTGATTTGCTTTATTACCCACCTTATTGTCCTAGTATTGCAAAGTATCTGCAAAGCTCTTCTTCAGCACCATGTTTCAAACAGATCAATTTTTTCCCTGTCCGTTTTCTTTAGTGCCCAGTTTTCACACCCAAACATCGAGATCAGGAATACTACACCATGGATGATTCTGACCTTGGGTCTCCAGTGCCAGATCTTTACATTTGACGATCTTTTCTAATTCCTTCACTGCTGTCTTTCTGAGTTTTGGTCTTCAGATTTCTTGGCTGCCATCTCCATTTGGAATGATGATGGAACCAAGATATACAGAATCTTTCACCAATTTTTCTCATTGGCAGCATTAAAGTTGTAGAGTTCTTCTGCAGTCATGATTTTGGACCATCATGTTCAGCTGCAATCCTGCTTTGGCACTTTCTTCTTTCACTTTCCCTAAAAGTCATTTCAAGTCATTGCTGCTTTTTGCTAGTGAAATGATGCCATTGGCATATCTTAAATTACTGATGTTTTTCCACCCATTTTCCCTCCTCTTTCATTGAAGTCTAGTCTAGCTTTCCATATGGTATGTTTTGCATAGAGATTGAACAAATAAGGGCTAGAATGCACACCTTTGTTTATAGGAAACCATTCTGTCTCTTCATGTTCTGTCCTAATAGTAGCTTCTTCTCTGCAATACAGGTTACACATCAGGAAAATCAAATGCTTAGACAAACCCATTTCTTTCAGAACAACTCGTAGTTTCACATGATCCACACAGCCAAAGGATTTGCTGTAGTCTACAAAGCACAGACTTACCTTCTTCTGTAATTTTTTGTGTGCTACAGTAGCCAGCAGATATTTGCAATCTGATTTTGAGTGCCTCTTTCTTTTCAAAACCCAGCTTAAATATTTCACTCCATATAAGGTAAAACCCTTTGTTGCAACACCTTGAACATCATTTTGTTTCCAGGAGAAAGTAAAGCAATGGTTCTACAATTACTGCATTCTTTGGCATCTCCTTTATTGGGTACTGGAATGTACATTGAACATTTCCAACCTGTAGGCCATTGTTTCATTTTTCATATTTTTTGGCATATTCTTGTTAGGATTTTAACAGATTCAGTCTCTGTGGCTTTAAATCATGCAATTGGTATCCCTTCTACCCCTGCTAATTTATTTCCTCCCAGTGCTTTCAGAGCAGCTTTCACTTGGCTTTCTACGTTCTTTATCATAGGATTCCTCTTCAAAGGATTCTGTCATCCTTCTTCAATATACTTTTCCATCATCATTTTATTTTCCCTTGGTCGGATAGTGTGCTTCCCTGTTGGTCTCTCAGCACTCCTAATCTACACTTAAGTTTTCCTTTGATTTCTTGGATCTTCTGGAAGAGATCTCTTGTTCTCCCCCCTTTGCTGTTTTCCTCTATATCTGTGCAGTGGTTATCACTATAGTTCTCTTTGTCTGTGTTAGTTGTTTTTCAATCACCTGGCAATGCTAATACCAATAAGCATTATAGTTTTAAACTGTGTAAAGCTTTAGGTCAGGGGTGTGTGATGTATGGACAAAATAAATCTCACTCTCAACACGCATATCCCAAAGATGCTCAGGCCTTTGCACAGTAACTGTGAAGTCCGAAGGGGTGCCTGCTTATATTTTCTTTACTGGGAACCCTGAATAGCCAACTGCAGGAGTGCTATAAGAGTGTTCAGTAGAACATACTCTCAGATGACTCTTCAGATCTTCTTATTGCACACACAAAGGTGTGAGTGACATCCAAACAAACAAAATCGAGGGAATGCTGGGCACATGACATGGATATGACTCCATCAACAACATAATGCCTGAATACAATTAGTGTCTCATGTATAATACAATATTGCTTGCTTGCCACAGCTACCTAGAAAACACAAATTAGCTATTATATTAAGTCAGCTCTAACCAGGCAATTCTTGTACATTCCTTTCAGGGGCATCATACTTTATAAATACTGTATTGTACTTCTATGTTTTTTAGTTTTGAAATCTGCTAGGGGCATCATTCTTTATAAATATTGTACTTCTATGTTTTTTAGTTTTGAAGACATGGATGTCAACAATCTTATTGCTTCTTGCAAACAAGAGCCAAAAACTATACACAGCTGTTTTCAGCAAGCTTTGACAGACCTTACAGAGTCAGGCTGGAAGATAAGAGACATTTAATGAGAAATTACCACATGAGAGAAGTCCATCTTCATAGTCTGTTGTACAGGAGAAGTCAATGAACTCTCTAGGTGCAATTATGTTCCACAGTTGGCCAGCAGTGGTGTAACGCATGACACAGCAATTCTGCAATACAATAACAAAATACTGTATGTTATGGGGAACAGGCCAGACAAGAAAAAGAGCCAAGTCTTAAGGGATTTGTTTCTGAGGAAAACGACATATAAAATGAAAGGGTAAAGCCACTGTTTCCCTGCTCTTAGGGAGGTGCAATTCTTTACATTGTAAGCTTAAAAAGAAATGCAATTAAGCATTTCTCATCTCATCTAACTTGTTCCTGTAAAGCATCTTAGGATCACAGCTCAGAAACACTTTATAGCAATATATGTTGCTTATTTACATCTGCAGAAGGCAAATGGCATAACTTCAAATGTGTTTTCATATGTTTAATGTATTTTCACTTGGATTTTCTGGCTTGAGGAAAACCAGTATCACATGCACACCTGAAAATCAAAGCTGGGATTCATTAGGTTGTCCACAAGACCACGTTGGACATCATGCTATTCGCCTTCCTCGAGCATAATTAAGCAACAGGATTTTGGCCTATTTCTTCTCATCACAAGGATATGCAGCTATAGGCCTGGCACACATTCAACATATCCAGTCTGCCACCATAAAAGAATAAAATGTCCAGGTCTTTTAATAGGGAAAGATCCTACAAATGTTCATGATTAACCAAATGTTCTAAGGTCATTTGCCAGTCAACTGTAGAACTTGCAAAATATAGAAGCCTCCATAAGAAAGCCAGCTTTAGATTTCTGGATAAAGAATTCAGTGTAGTACCTCTCTCTCTCTCTCCCCCATCCCCCTCTCCCACACATATCTGAAGTTTCTTTTGATTTCTCTTCTTTAGAAGAGAATGCCATTTGGAGCATTTCTAGAAGGGTAGCCATGTTACCTTGTTGCAGCAAAACTCACAAAGAGTCTTGGGGCAACTTGCATACTAAAAAGTTTAATTTGATATACTATAAATTTATGTGAGTTATACCCCACTTAATAAAATGCATTACAAATGAAACACACACACACACACACACACACACACACACACTTATACAGAGAGACTAATTTCTCACTGGCTGTTCATAAGTCAAATATATTACGAGTGTTATGTCAAAGGTATGATACACATATGAAAATCTTAGCTGTGCTATCAAAGAGCCAATGCAGTATAGAGACCCAGGTTCCAATCCCCACTTGGCCATGGAAACTCACTGGAGGGTGGCGGCCCTGGTAAACCATGAATATCTCATATACTAGCGGTCCCCAACCTTTTTGGGACCATGAACTGTCTGAAGCCTCTGAGGACGTTCAGGCGCATGCGTGAAGGGGTGGGGGGTGCTCACGCTGGCGCTGGCACACGCACCCAAAGCAGCTGTGGGGAAGGGAGTGCATGCGGGGCGGGTGGGAGGTCTGTCTCCGTGGCCTGATCCGGCTCAGGTCACGGACCAGGGGTTGACGACCTCTGTCATATACAATGAAATGCCGATTTAAGGTCTTGACTTGAGAGCACATAATAACAACCACAGCTGTATGACAAATGGACAAAATGTTACTTACGTCTTCAAACTCATCAACTATGTCCATCGTGGTCATTAGGCTGTCCCAATGTAGCCGATAAGGCCCAGGGCGTATGTGATCTATTATTCTGTTAGTGACATCTTCCACGATCCCTTGTGTCTTGTAACTACAGAAACAAATTCAATGCAAGGATTCTTAGAAATCATTCCAGCCTTTGATAAGTTTCAGCCCACTTCAAATATCTCACAAAAGAGCCAATCTTTCTTATTAGCAATATTTAGTATTCTTTTTTGTAAAAAATAACTTACTGCATAGACCAGCTACTCTTTGTCTTTAGACCCCTGTTGAAGTGTATTTGTTAACACTATATGGTACACACACACATACACAATTTTTAAAATTCCCCTTATATATTCTCATAGGCATATTTATTTTAAGATCAGAGAACTTATCAGAGAAACTGATGCCTTAACATTTTCCTAAAACAAAATACAAACCATTCTCTCCTCTCTCTTCAAAAACAGGGAAGTAGGAGAGAGGAGGCAAGGTGTAACATTCTCCCAGTATCAAGATATTGCTCTTTGTGCACTGGGAAAATGCTATTTTGCCACAGTAAATAAATCACATAGCAGAAAGTTGGATACTCAAGTGAGACCTGTTCATTTTGTCAACAGCTCTGAAGAGCAGATGGGAAGATTTGTGCACCAAGGATATGAGGTTACTACGTTTGCGTTTGCAAGCTTCATTGCAGTTAAAGGGACCTACACAAGAATACAGGATTGATCCTGATCCTCAGAGCAGGATAACAACGCTAGTTTTGTGGCACATATGTTGATTGGGAAGCCCTTTATAGAACAGCTTAATTATTTTGCATATGTCCATCCAGCAGCTAGAGCAGTAGGTCCCTATGCTGGACCACCAGATAGTGGTGGTTGATGACTTCCATTTCAGAGGTGCTATGAATCCATTCTTGAAACTTTACAGGAGTCATCCAAGGTGCTGAACCTATTCTGGAGAATGAGCAGAGTACTTTGGATAGAACCCAGAACAGATTCCAGCACCTCTGAAATCAGAGCCACCAGCTAACACTGTCTCCAGATGTTATCTGCCTACACAGTTCTCAGAATACTCAGAACACTTGACCAGTGGCCATGCTATCCAAGGCTTTTGAGAATTGAAGTCCAACAACATCTGGAGACTCAGGTTTAGGAATTCCTGCAGGAAAAAAATAGCTACAAAACGTTAGCCAGAATTGTGTCCACAAATTGATGGACAGTCGCATCCAGTGATGGCAGTCATGATGTTGAGGACATGACGGATTGGGAAGTGAGACATTCCTGCGCTAATGCAGCATGATTCTTCCTCACACAGCATATACAAGTGTGAGTGCACATGTTCACACACACACCCACATCTACTAGAAACTGTTTTTGTGAAAAGTTATCTTACAGGTATCCGTTGAATTCTTCTGATGGCTTGCGCCAAACCGTCGTATCTTTCTGCAGGAGAAAATGAACAGAACATTTCAGAAGATGGACATCTTTTACAATCTGTTGGATACCAAATGGTCAATTCAGCTGTACTTTAAAGAGAACACAATACTGTACATTTAAAAGTAGTTTTCTACTTAGGTTTCCACATCCACCAATCAATTGAAGACACAAACATATCAAATATAGGTTCAAAGAAAATATGGACACTCCAGCTGATGCAGAATGTAGCCGGCCTATTGTTCATGGGGGAATTGGTGGTCAGAACCAATTCCATACCAGCTTCACTGGTTGTCAGTGAGCACCCAGACACAAATGTAAAGAACAGGTGATTAAATGTAAAAGCCTTAATGGATTGGGACCAGATCATTGAAAGGAGTGCTTTCAATGCGTAACCTTTTTGGGCATGTACATTGGCTACAGAGGTCCAGTGCACATGCCTAAGATCTATTAGGAGGATAGGAACAAAATACAAAATAGGCACTTTCTGAGGGGGCCACATCCTTTGGAACATCCTACCCTAAGATATGTGCATGGCTCATTCCCCAAAGGGACCTTAGAGCTATGAACCAGTATCCTACTGCTAATCCCAACTAAGAATAGACTCATTGCATCAACTGCTGAATAGTAAGTCAATACTTGTTTAAAGCCCACTGGCTCAACGGGTCTACTCTAGCTGAGAGTAGCAACAGGATAGGATCTAGGAATCACTAAAAATCTTACTCATACAGTGTCCCATTCTTCAAATACCAACTCATATATCACAGCACAACAGAAATGACCACTTTGCTTTATCAAAGCAAAGAATCTACAAAAATTATGGCTTGGTAACTTACTGTTTTCTTAGCCAGTCTCCATTCACTATCTTCAATGTTGTAGTACTGGATGACTGTGTTCGTCACTTTTGTTGCGAGAGAAACAACATCAGGAAAGTCTGCCATTTTTTTCTCTTTTCTATAGAAAATCAGGATGTAAAAATCACAAGACAGGAATGGATTCCTTTCCCTCACATTCCTGCTCACATTAACACTTGGCCTCAACCTGATTCCAACAAGTTGCACAGCGCCATGACTCTTAAAAGACTGGTTGAAGTACATGTGAAGAAAATTTACTAATGCCGTGCCCTTATACTGCAACATCCACAGTTAAATAACTGCATGCCTAATATGCAAGTTTTGCAACAATGATCCATATTTTAAATTGTCCACATTACGACATAGTTTTTTGTAAAGCTGTTTCCTTACCTAGAATGAATTATTGACTAACCTAGAAAAGTTAGTCAGATCTTAGGATTTCCAGATCTCACTCTGAAACCACTGCACGGCTCTCTGCTGACTTACCCTGCTATGACATCAGAGCAACTAAGCAAATGGCAACCTGAGGGGCAGTGTAGCTCACAGACACAGGCTCCTGTAGCAACAAACGAGTCAGCCAAAACTGGCAAGAGATTATTAAACCAGGCAAATAACAAGAAGAGGGCAGCTATATGAGAAAATCATATCCATACCTATTATGTTGATAGTCTAGACCAGTGGTGCCCAACCTTGGGCCTCCAGATGTTCTGGAAATCCTGGCCAGGAGAGGTGGTGGTGAAGGCTTCTGGGAGTTGTAGTACAAGAACATCTGGAGGCCCAAGGTTGAGGACCACTGGTCTAGACCATGAGTGACCAAGGTGTTCTTGGACTGTAACTCCCAGAAACCCTGGCCAGCAGTTAGTGGCAAAGGCTTCTAGGAGTTGTAGTCCAAGAACACCTGGCCTATACAAAGTTGGGAACCACTGGTCTAGACCAACATTCCAAACCTAATGCACTTCAGGTGTATTCGACAATAAAATCTATCATCCTCAGGCACCATACTGGCTGGGAATGGTGACAGTTGTGATCCAAGACATTTAAGGTTGAGGAAGGATCACCTGGACATTGGTGTAAAAACAAATACCAAAACTGAAACACAGTTACACATTTGGTTCCACTGAACACATCATCCTCTTAAAACGGAGTGAAAAGCTTTCAGTCATCACACATTTATATAGGATGATTTCTACTAACATAACCACTTCTGTGTAGAACAACTGTGCTGCTACTCATGATAAGCACCCACCTTTCCACTTCTGTGTAGAACAACTGTGTATATATCACATATATGCTGCTACTCATGATAAGCACCCACCTTTCTGTTCAGCCATGTATAGGCTCATCATACATGAGTGTCTGTGCATGTATTTTCTACTGTGTAGGCAGTCACTGCCTGTCAAACAGCACTTCCTTTTCTCTGCATTAAAAATAGACTGCCTAGATTAGGCAGATTGTTCCTGAAAATGTTTTTGAAATCTTTCTCTCAGGAAGGAAATGAAACCTACACAGAGGGACAAAACTGTAGAAAGGCATACTGCAGACTTTGAAAGAAACTGCCATGTTGGGTTATTGATTTGTAGGTTGTATGTGATTGCAGACATGGCACAACCTAATTGTATACATGTCTACTCAGAAGGAAGACACAATATACCTAGTGGGACTTATTCCCCAGAAAGCATATACAGATTTGCAGCCTAAATGAATTAACCAATATATGGAATCCACAAAAATGTGATTGTGACAAAAGCATTCATTTTGTTGAACACTACTTTTTGTTGGGTTTTTGTCATAGCTTTCTAGAAGAACATCCTCCTTTGTGACAGAAAAAGGAAGAAAACTTCTCAGACAATATTTGCAACTTGCAAATTATACAAGGGCTGGCTTAAAATAAAATATTTTAACATTTGTTGCCTCATTAAGCAAAGCATTTGGTTTCAGTCAATTTTTTTTTAAAGAAAACATTTCAGTCTTACATCTCTGACAGCAAACAACGTTTCCCCAAATGCCTCCAAAAGCTTTTCCAATTGGCAACTCCTCCCTGGCACAGACCACACATTTGCTCAGGTCTCAGTTCCATTAGACCTCAGCCCAGGAAGAGCCCTTGGACTGCAGGATTGGCTCGATTCTTGTACCCAAAACAAGAACAGCAGGAAGCTGAGAATATAAGAATAGCTGCGGTGGATCAAACCAAAGGCCTTCCGAGTCCAGCATTCTGTTCCCACAAGGGCCAAGCCGTTGCCAGGAGGACATGATTACACTTTTCCTCTTGTGTCTCCCACTGTCTGCCAGTGAGAGGCATACCTACTCCAGAACTGGAGATAATCGTAATTAGTAGCCACTGGTAGCCTTATTCTCTGCAAACACAAGAGAACCTTCCAAAAATGCAAAGTCAGGTTTTTCTGCTCATCTGTCAAACTCTGCAACATAATAAAGCAAGGGCTGGCCCTGTATTCATCACCGCCTAAGTCTTTGTGGTACCAATGCAGCGACAACTAAGGCAAGAACAGAAACTTTGTGTTGCTCCTCCAGACATTCATTTGAAGTCCTCTGCAGTGAAAGCACCTGATGGACGAGAAGGTTGCAGGCAAATAGCTATTCCTCCCTCTCCCCTGCCCCACCGCCCCTCTTCAGGCATTAGACCTTTACACAGTCGGGGTGTTTATTATTTAGGAACGAGGATGACCTACTTTCGGATGGCTAGGTAAATCATTCCTGCTCAGTGTTGTGAGCTGTTTCTGCTCACCGATGCCAGGTGCACAGGGCACACTGTTCTACAACGCCCTAGGTTGGGCAATAGCTTTAGCAGATCACGAAGACAGGGAGAAATGAGATAAGCGTTCAAGTTCCCTAGAACTCTTCATGAAGCAAAGAGGCCATAAGCCAAGGGCATCTCACCTAGTCCGACATTTTGCCTCGACCCTGAGTTTTACATCATCTTTGCCTGATGAAGAGTTCCGGGCAACTCAAAAGCTCCTCTTATCTGTCACTTTTTTTAGTGATCCATGAAAAGGACTGCGGAACCTGTCTTCCTAGGAAGGCATTGCAGGGCTATTTGTATTTCTTTATAAACACTTTTGCCTGAAATCCGAGACAGGAGTCTAAGAAGGATGGGGCCAGCCAAAGGCCCGCTCTGCTCTGCTCTGCCGGGGCTGCGGAAGACCAGGCCCATCAACTTCCCAGCTCCGGGCTGGGCAGGGTTGGGGGTCGGGACACAAACAGGAGCCCGACAGACAAGCGCGGCTATTCCGTCCGTCCCCAGGTAACGGGGGCAGGAAGATGAAAGTCACGCGTTCGCGCTCACGTTCCCCAAGACCAGCGTCTACTTGCTTCACACGTGAGACACGCTTAAGGATGGCACGCGGAGGGGAGGGGAGGGGGGGCTCCGCTTCTCGCTCCAACCCGGGTGCGCAGAGTGAGGACTGAAACTTTCCACCGGCCCGAAGCGCCCGTCCGGAGGGCCGCCACCCCAGCCCTCCCTCCTTCCCTCCCTCCAGGGATGCAGAACTTGGGCCATCTCGGATCCGACGGGGCGACCATGCCTACCAGCCACCATCTCTCGCTGGGAAGGCAAAAGGCTAGCGTCGCCTGACTCCCCACATACCCGTGCGGGGGGGGCGAGCGAGCGGGGAGGGGGGCGCTGAGGGCAAGCCCATGCGTGAGACCCCCCCTGGGTTTGTGGGGGGAGAGAGACGCCGCACCGCCTCTCTGGCCAGGAGAGCCTCCCTCCCGTCCCGTCCTCTCACCAGGGTCTCGGCGGCCGGGACGGGGAAGGAGTCCAGCTGGGCGCCCCTCTTCTCCGCTCCGGACCGGCTCCCCCGCCGCTGCCTCTCGGCTCCTTCTCCTGCCCTCGCCCGGCCGAGCAGCTCATGCCCTGAACCAATCCGAGCACCGCCGGCATCCTCTTCTCGGCCAATAGCTGCCTGCCTTTCTCTCCCCCCCCCCCCCCCATTCCCCCCCCTGTCCGACTTTCATCCCATTGCCAATATCGTCCTATTAAGCCTAAGCTACGCCCACCAGCGTCGTCCCCCCCCCTCAAAAAAGAAAAAAAGGAAAAAAATAAACCTCACTCACCTTGAAAGGCCTTTTAGGGTTCCTGCCCATCCGCTCCGACCCGAGCATGGCACAGAACCACCGGCCGCCTCCGCCCGCTCCAAATATCGTCTGTAAAACGGACGACAGGTCGCCAGTTCTCATTGGCTGCTGGTGGGAGGAAGGCGGAAGGGAGCTCGGTGATTGGACGGCAAGTAAATGGAACGACAACGTGGAGAAAGAGAAACTCGCGCGCGGGAGGTCCGGCTGGCGACGTGCGGGAGGAGTGCCGCGAACCCGTGGACGGACGGATGCAGGGGCCTCTCTTGATGGAGGAGGCAAGGCTTTGGAGAGGCGGCCTGAGTAACCGAGGGGCCAGTGGATTTTGTAGCGCTTTGGCTGCCTCATTGGGACTTGAACGATCTGGGTTCGATCCCCTGGCAGGATATGTGGCTTGTCACGAAGGGTTTTCTGAATGGCCGGCCACTGTAACGTTGTTTCCCCTCGATGTGGCTGCCGGTGCGTTGTACATCTCAGCGAGCGCTCCTCTTCCCATGAACAGTGCGCCGCATGTGCGTCTGAACCGCCACACGGGAGATAGGGAAACTTTGACCTCGCAGATGTTCTAGACAACAACACCTATAATCCGTTATCGTTGATCATGGTGGGTCCAAGTCCACTGGATTTCTGAGAGTCAAAGGTTTCCCGCCTTGGCTCTAGCCTTTATGCATTTGAGGAAGTGAGTTGCAGTCCATGAAACTGTGTAATGTCACATGCTTCATGATATCATATCACACGGTGGTTTTCATTTTACTCCGAAAACTGAGTGCAGAACTAAGCATTAGACCTAATGTGTCCAAAATCTGTTTAGTGTTCAAAAGATATAATTGAGTCTGTTTTTCGTGTCCCTTTTTGCAATCAGACTTGCAAAGGAAGATCCTGCCTGTACTGTAGCTTGAAGATGGTTTGTGAAACAAAGCAAACTTTAGTTACAGAGTATGTGAGGTGAGAAAATCAATACAAGAAATCACTTCTCCAAATGGGTTATTGGCTTTTCTGTAAAATGTGGTGGGGTCCTCACGTGGTGATCTTCAGTCTCTGATTTTCTGTGGGTGCCATCAGATGGAGAAATAGCTGGCGTTTTGGACCACTTGTGGCACAGTCCAGTGCAAGCTGTTTTCCATCAGTCACGATGCACAAGAGATCAGAAACAAGTCTTGACCCTGCTGCCAGCCCGAGCTGGACCATTTTGAGTTACTCTTTTTTGAGGCCAGGCTGGAGTCATACCTGTAGGGACGAAAGGGTTGTTTTAAGGAACATCACTCCCAGCAAAGTAACCCTTTCCAGTGCTATCAGATGCAATCCTGTCTCACTGTCTGATTGCACCCACCGTCTCATCTACCACATGGAATTCTTGCCAGGACAATGCAGAGAAGCCTGTGTGCTACCTTGAGGTCACTGGAGGAAAGGTGGGGTATATTAATTTAAGTAATAAACAAACAACAGGCAGGAAATATCAGAAAATAGAATGGGGGTTACAACGAATGGGAGGGGGCAGGAAGCATTGATAAGAATAAGTGATGTGCAGAAGGATGTAAAGTACAGTAATAGAATGGATAATCATTTCAGAGTGTTGGTTGAAGGGTGGTCAATTTGATTTTCCACTACATTAAAAAAAACTCTGCAAGTAAATGGAGAACATGTGGCAGAGGGAGGATCTGTGGCAGCCATTTGGAACTATGATTATTTTTCTGTTTAGAGGGAATTTTTCATAGAAGAGCAGGTGAAAATACATTCGCCTTCAGACTGAAATGCAGTACTTCTCCCTCAGTCTCTGCCACCTTTTTCTGCTTCATCCATAGAGCATGCCTTAACCCCACCAAAATCTTTCAGAAGGCTTGAAACTTCCAATTAATAACATTGGGACTGCTTTTGTTTCTCATTCTGACCTGCCTCCCAGGATGGTGAGGACAGCGGGCACATTGAGAATGCCATCTGAAGCTCTTTGGAGGAATGGAAGAATATAATTCCACAAAATCCTATTAACAGCTTACATGCTCTGATTTTGGGGAGAAAGATAATGAAGGAGTCGTGCAATATCCTAAAGTAATTAATTTTCTGTCTTGGGAGAAAAAGTGACAATGCAGTCTAGCTGCAGAGGAAGCTTGCTGGAAACAGACTCATGCTGTTTCAACGTGGTGTAGCTCAGCATTTCTATTCAAGCTTACTCTCCTGCGTTTTCTTACTAGTATAAACTCTTGGAACTTTTTAGCACAGATATGCTAAAGAAGTCTAAAGCTTGTTTGCTCAGAGTTTTTTTTAATTAGGAAGCCAGTTTGGTGGTGGAATTACTGACTGTGTACAGGGAAATTGACATGTATTTTACTGAGAAATAACTGCTTATGTGGGATACTAGGTTTCTGTCCAGTCCCAACAACAGCTGCTATCCAGAGGGTGTTTATTTTTTGTGCACCCCCACTCCACCCACATATCTTGTTTCCTCGAAAATAAGACCTAACCTGAAAATAAACCCTAGTATGAATTTTTCATGATGCTTGTAATATAAGCCGTACCTCAAAAATAATACCTGGTTAAGTGAAACCCCGCCCTCCACCATTGTGCAGCAACTAGAAGAAGATGACATGACTGTAAAGTAAAACATCCCCTGAAAATAAGCCCTAATGCATTTTGGAGCAAAAATTAATATAAGACCCTGTCTTATTTTCAGGGAAACATGGTAGCACTAAAGAAAAGTGTTTTACTCACACAGTGGCAAGCTAGTATGGACTGAAAAATAGAATGGCTATGTTCTTATGCCATTACTGAGCTTTGTACCACATTATACAACTTATACAACCGCATTATCAAATTACTGTATCTGTAGTAGTTCTTTAGCCCTTTCCGTGGCCAAAGTTCTTCTCACAGTGCACAACTGGTATAAATATTGCCTTGGTAATGGACAAGAGCTTAGATGACTTTACAATAGAATAAAACACATCCATAGAACAAGAGAAGTCTGTCATTGGGTTAAACTTTTCAAAGTTGTTTTGAGTAGTGCTACTGACAGTATCCAACTCTGTTTTCTTCACACACAGTGTGGGGATGGGTATAAATACTGGAATTAATAAATAAAATTAGTGATAAATGGCTACTCTGAGGGCTGTATAGAATACAGTGGTGCCTCGACTTACGACCATAATCCATTCCAGAAGATGGGTGTAACTCGAAATGGTCGTAAGTCAAAGCACCATTTCCCATAGGAATGCATTGGAAACGCAATTAATCCCTACCGGGTGAAGGGGGGGGAGAAAAGCAGTCAAGCGTTCAAGACCCATTGGAAATGCACGGAAAACAAACGGAGCAGATTGGAAATGCATAGTTTCCAGGGCAGGTTGGAAATGCAAAGAAAACAAAGGAAAAAGCAAGAGAAGCATGCAGGACCCATCAGAAATCGGGGGGGGGGGACAAAAAAACAAACACCCCAAGACCCATTGGAAATGGGTACCCCCCCCAGAAAAGCAACCAAACCCCCAAGACCCATCACAGCACAGAAAGGTAACCCCCCGGCTCAAAACCATCCTGCAAAAACGGTAACCCCCCCGGCTCAAAACCATCCTGCAAAAACACCCAGAACAGTTTTTAAAAAGCAGAAAACAGCACCTTACCTTACCAGACAGCCTGAAGCCTCCCTCCAAACACACACATGCTCTCAGAAGCAGAAGGAGGCAGTCCCAAGCCTCCTCCAAGGCACACTCCCTAACTGCTGGTGCGAAAGAGCTACAAAGAAGCAACCTCATCGCCACCTACAATTAGAAATTTGAGTTTCCCCCCTTTTTTCCCTGCCTTTTTCTGTTCGTAAGTTGAAGCTCCGGTCGCAAGTCGAAGCAAAATTTTGCAGCCGGAGCTGGTCGTAACGCAAAATGGTCATAAGTAGGGACGTTCGTAAGTCGAGGCACCACTGTATTCAGGCTAAGAGGTTATATCATGGTTTTTTTCTGTTTCCATTTAAAGTATTTCTGTGCCCACAGAACTCTAGCCAAAATAGTATCGCTCACTATACAAGATGGAGATATCAGCAGACTCTAGATAATCCCAGGGTGTGTAGTTGGGTGCTTACAGGGTGTTAACAGGGAAAGAAATGGGGACTCCTGCAATCACAAGACAATATTACAACAGCACATAATGTTTTTGCATAATGTGTATGGAAAAAACCTGATGACCAGGTGAGAGGCAAAATGGAAGACAGTGGCTGGAAAAAGATGAAAGAAGGAGAGGCACAGATATTAAAAAATGAAAAAGCACAAAACAACATGAATAATCCCATTGTCAAAATCAATCTCTTCTTGATTCTAGGTGAATATGGCCCTAGAAATAAAAGTGAGAAATATTCATGGGCACAAGTGTGTCTGTGATATCTGCATCTTGTATGGCGAGTGATAATATTTTTGGCTAGACCTTTGTGGGCATGGAAGTACTTGAAATGGATACAGAAGAAATCATGATATGCCCTGTAAGCCTGAATATTAGAATGTGGGAGAAAGAATGGTATGACTCCCTGAACAGACACTCCATATTGCTACAGTCACTTTGCCTGCATGCCTTGGTCTGGGTTTCCCTGAAGCATCTAGTTGGCTGCTGTGAGAAACAGGATGCTGGAATAGACTATATTTAGCCTGAGCCAGAAGGACTCTTACGTTTGAAGGCATGAGGGTAGATGACAATGTCTGATATAGCAGAAGGGGGAGGGAATCTTCTCTGTTGTGTTAACCATGAGTCACTGATGGTTTGCAGCCAAAGCACCGAATGTGGTCTAGCAGTCTCATATAATTTGTTCCATTCTAATTTACTCACATGCTAGGCTTTTTTCAAACTCTGGAGTCTTGTGGGGCAGTGAGTAAAAATTCTAATCTCTGTTTTGTGTAAGTAATAAGCATTTCAGGAATAGTACACTTAATGTGACACATCTGTTATACAAACAGAAGGAGTACTCTAAAATCACCTAAAATATTAAAGTAGCCTTGAACATGGTGGCCCTCAGGAGTTCTGGATTACAACACACATAATCTCAAGGGTGATGATGATGGAAGTTATAGTCCAATACACTGGGAGAGCTGCTTTAAACTGACTTGAATTTCAACTGCATTTTTTAAAATTCTGGGGGTTTTTTTAGAAATCAATGCAGCCTAGAGGTATTTCATAAAGACAGCATAAAGTATCTAGATCCAAGCATGAGACAACCACATTCTACACAATATTTTCATGAGATGGCTATTATTCACTATTGATTTTTATTGGTGACAAATATATATGACTTATTTCTCACAATAGGTCAAAGTACTATTAGTCGAGTTGCCTAGAGTGGTCGCAACAACCGGATAGGCGGAGGATAAATAAAATAAATAAATAAATAAAAATTTGTCTTGTATCTCTTGTTCTGTAAAGGGTAGAGACTTTTTATAAAATGAAAGCTTGGAATCTGGGTCAAATGATGTCTGAACAAGTACTGGGTGGCACCTCTAAAATCTGGGAAAATCCAGCAGAACAGATATTATGGTAACCCTGCCATTTTGAGAGACTGTACAGCACTAGTTTAACCTCCCTGAGTCAATCACGGGGACCCACATGGAAATCGGATGGAGGAAGCAAGTTGGCAATGGAAAGGAAGTAATCCAGGAGAGTGAAATAGGCTACTTATATCAGCCAGCGA